TGGATCGCGTATTTCTTTATTTGGCGTTTCTGCATTACGTGGTTGTTTGGTGATTCCAACGATATATTCCGCACTGGTGTTACTGGAGACCTGTAATGTAGAGCAGAACTTCTGCTCTCCATTGCGTTTTGTGAAGCTGGAACTATTTTGGCCAAGTGAGATGCTAGTGGAGATCGAACTTCATGCTTGAAGGAGTTTTGTGGAAGTTTTGTGAACCAAAACAACTCTGTATAGAACAGTTGTAATCATCTACTTCGTTCTTGAGTGTAAAGAACTCTGGTTGTTCAAGTTTGGATGAGAACCGAGAGTATTTGAGAACTTTTGGAAGTAGATCATGCTTTGGTAGCTAGCTGAATTTGTGATCAACGCAATGTGGAATTGTTCAGTCCATCTTTTAGGAAAGATCGTGATTTTTGAACCTGGAATTGCGTTTCCATTTCAGACATTGGCTTGAGGGAGTCTTGATGTCAAGATGAACTGTGTATCACAAATAGACATTCAGCTGTCGCTGTTCGTGGCCCTTGGTTTTGGGGTTTCTTCTTTCTCTCTCGCAGGTGTGTCCTGCCTGAGAGGATCTGACTCCTGTGTGCGTCCGAGCAAAAGATTGAAGCTGACGCTTGTGCTTTGGAGTCGAAGGAGAAACTTCGTTTTAGGCATTTGAGGTTCTAATTTCCGAACTTGGGTTTGATCTAGGAAACTAGACTTTATCACACAGCTACATCGGGAAAATGCTTGAATGTTGGGTTTGTTCCCCACATCACTGTGGGGTTCTTGTTTTTCGCTTGGATCCCGCCGCTCCTGTTCCCGCTCCCGCCGCGCCGCTTCATCCCACAATTCGTCACACCACAACTCATCATTGTAAGTGGTGCTGAGTTATCTTAAAAGTGGTGCTAAGCGGGTTGCTGTCTCTAAGTCACTTACATAAGTAGTTACAGTTTTCGGCTCTATATATTATGTTCCATACATGATTACGCAACTTATGGCACTTGGCTGCCCACTTTGCGTGTGTGGCCAGCGGCTGCCTTTCGTGTGGCAGGCACAGTACACACGGCCTCCTGGAGGAGCTGCGGCGCGCGTGGCCGCCGCTGGCCCGCGGCTGCCTTTCTCGTGGCAGGCGCAGTACACAGAGCCTCCTGGAGGAGCTGCGGTGCGCGTGGACCCGCGGTTGCCTTTCGTGTGGCAGGCGCAGTACACAGAGCCTCCTGGAGGAGCTGCGGTGCGCGTGGCCGCCGCTGGCCTGCGGCTGCCTTTCGTGTGGCAGGCGCAGTACACAGAGCTTCCTGGAGGAGCTGCGGCCCGCGTGGCTGCCGCAGGCCCGCGGCTGCCTTTCGCGTGGCAGGTGCAGTACATAGAGCTTCCTGGAGGAGCTGCGGCGCGGGTGGCTGCCGCAGGCCCGCGGCTGCCTTTCGTGTGGCAGGCGCAGTACACAGAGCCTCCTGGAGGAGCTGCGGCGCACGTGGCCGCCGCTGGCCCGTGGCTGCCTTTCGTGTGTCAGGCGCAGCACACAGAGCTTCATGGCTATATAGGAGTTGAGTCTTTCATGACTCTGGCCTGAGATGCAGTTGGCATTGAATAAAACAGCAACTGGATTAATGATTAAATCCATTATTCACAATATCTGGAAACATCTCAGACAGCTGGGTCAATGGGCCCAAGCTACCACGCAAGGAAAATATGCAAGACATGCTTCAAAGCTCCTCATGTGAGTCTCAATGATTGTGTCAATGATAGTGATGGCATGGTGATGACGAAAAAAATCAGAAAATGATAATAGAAACATGATGAGAAAATTATGAGGAAATGAGGAGAAAATGATGAGAAAATGATGAAAAATGACGAGGAAATGATGAAAAAAATATGAGACAATGATGAGGACATGATGAAGAAATGATGACAAAATGATGAGAAAATGATGACGTGATGCTGATGATGGTAATGATGATGATCATTGTGATCATGGTGATCAAGATGATGGTGATCATGATGATGGACATGATGATGATATTTACTATGGCTGCAAAAAAATACACTGGCAAGAGACCCCAAACAGTGTGGGGGGTAGAAAGTCAGTGTAACAGATACAAGCAACAGTAGCTATGGAACAGAAACATATGACCTTGAACTTAGACTTAAACATTATCACAACTTCAGCAGCAGGACCCTCTATACATAATCCTGATTTTTTTCTCGGAGTGCGGCTGATACAGCTCAGAGGCTCGGTCCTTAAAACTGGATAAACTAATTAAATCGGCAAATCAGAGGACTAGGAAAACCAAGTCGCACCTGTACAACTCAGAGCCTACAGTGGCAACATCGAAACAAGACAAAACACCCAGCAACCGGCTAGAAGACGAAATGCAAATCCCCCAGCCAGATTTGCGGATCGTCCCCCGCAATCAAGACCAAAGCAACAGCAGAACCGGGCCAGGTGCCACCAGTGGCATTGATGGGGCAATCAACCCCGCAATGCCAGAAAACAAAAACATGCGCTTCAAACTAATTGCGGACGAAGTCCATCCAAATTCTGGGGTAAAACCGGCAGCAATGCAACTAGGGTGATACTAAGGAAGAAACCAAATCTGTACAAAAAATTAGCCGCAAGTCACTCAGCGTCCTTTCAGTAGTTCTTTGTCGAGTCATCAAGACACCACGGACTAGCAGGTAGCTTCCAGCACGTCGCATCACCAATTGCCAAATCAAACAAACATGCAGTGTCCAAAGGGCTGTGAGCCAGTGGAGTTCAGCCCCCATGCAAAGAGGCCAGGGCCACGAATGTGGCCACAAAAGTTCGCAGAGGCAGTGGTGCCTCAACCAGAGGGAATCACCACCACCACCACCACCACCATCATCATCATCATCATCATGTTCTTCATCATCATGTTTTTCATCATCCTCATCCTCATCATGGTCATCGCGTCATCATCCTTGGCAAAAACCAAGCGTGTCGCAATTGGTGTCCGCTAAGACAGTTTTATACCATTTTATTTGGTCGATGGTAGTTGTTTTGGACTCGCCTTCATCGGGTTTGATATTATTTGATGAGTTTGCGTAAAGTTGGCTGGTGTGAAATGGGTTGACGCATTGGTGAGTTGCTGGTTGGTATCTTTGTGGTGTCAATGGATTAGGGACAAATAGGCAGATTGATGGTTTGGTTGGAGGCAACAAGGGCAGGGTTCACATTGTGGTCGTTATCATGCATCGTGCTGAAGTAACAAAGGCATCATACATTTAGTTTCATTTTCGAACATATGAAACAAAGGACAGAATTTGCATTTCATGCAATGCAACGATATGTGTTGCACAAAACAAAATGGTCTAAGATGTTGCAGTTTTCCGTCCCATGTGCTTTCAAAACAATCACTGGATGAAGAGTATACATCGTTGGGTTTGCAAAAAAAATCCTTGTACATGCATGCGTACATGAACTGAATTGTGGATAAAAGGTGTTGACCATTTCAGGTACCATTTTATTAATTCATTTTCAACCCCACAATTTTGCAACATAATTTTAACATTTGGAAAAAATGTGCAATTCATTGTTGTTCGACTGCAGCTGTTTTGGTGATTCAAATTGCGACCATTTAGTTTTAATTAGAAGTGTTGTCCTTTGCAGGCCATGGTAGCTCCTGTGGATACAGCTTTGTTGGTGTGCATATTCATGCTGCAGTTGTTGACAGCTGTGAAAGTTCTCGTTGTTCTTGCGCAGTCGCTTCTATTTGTGCAAATTCCCGATACGTGTCCAGTTTTTGTTTTTGATCGTGGGTAGAACCGCGCAGTTGACTTCATGCCAAACATGCCTGCTTAAGGTACGCGTTGAAAATTTGGAGTGCGCGAACCAAATTGACGGGCGGCAGAGCTCTGTGCACATGGATTGGGCAATTGGTATGGCCGGTGACAAACAGGAAGGTGATTGAAAAGTTTCACTCCCTGCAATGCCAATTGTTGATCAAAGCGCTGCAGGTGGTGGACAAAAACATGTTCGTAATTTCTCCCCACCTGGCAAGTGAGGGTCTCTAGATTGTATGTCAGCTCTTCCGTTCCTCCTCTTCGTTTGTTGTTCCACGTGTTCTCAATGGCAAACACGCAGACTCTTCGTGTCATCCTGGACCTCATCAGATAACGAACTTGTGGACTCTGCGTGTCGCGACACGTTGCCTCTACCAATCCCGCAGAAAGCTTGTGGCGCACTGGACCCGCCAATGAAATTGTCACAACACATACCAGCAATATGTCCCAATTGTAATCCAATGTAACTCGCAGAATATGTCAGCACGTTTGTCAGGATGTTTATGTCAAGGTGGGGATCACACGAAGCAAAGTAATTTTGAACACAGTTCTAGTGGAACCACTATCTCGGGCATGTAATCTTGCAGTAACAACTCAAGAACAGATTTGCTCGAAACATGCATGCTTGGTTGTCACATTCACATTATTTATGTATGTATCTATGTATGTATCTATGTATGTATGTATGTAATGTAATGTAATGTAATGTAATGTAATGTTATGTTATGTTATGTTATGTATGTATGTATGTATGTATGTATATATATATATATATACGTTTACTCATCAATTTTGAACACCAGACCTGTCAGCATGCGATGCATTTTCATCAGGGTATTTTGAATTTCATCATAGTTAGAATCCGGTTCACAGTGTTTGTTTCAAAGCCAGAAAAAACCAAATTAATTCTGGGGTGAACCATTCAACTGACATGATCATATTTGACAGGTCACCATGGTAATGGCCTGCATTCGATTCGCTTTCGCTCAAACTTATTTACTTGCTGGTGAGGACCACCTGTCCACTCTCTGGACCTAGCCCTTGTGGCAGTGCATTTCATTGGTCTCATATTGACACAATTTCCAGCACTTGCCAGACCTCGGTGTTTGGATCTATGGTACATTCTTCTGCAAGGGCTGCTTGTGGCACCTTTTTTCGTTGTGGGCCGTCGCCACGTGATCACATTATCCAACTGGACATTTGTCCTGAGAGTCATGCTGGGGTTATCGGCCAAACATGGATGCTTTGTAGTCTTGGGCAATGCGGTTGCATCAGTCCTTGTGATGAGACTTGTAGGCTTTAACTCACAGAGTGCACTTTTCACTGGAGAAGTGACCAAACTGAGTTTTTTACTCCTCGCAGTGTTTTCAATTCGTCAGTTGATCTTCAGAGATGCAAAAGCTTCTGTAGAACTGAAAAGCCGAAGCATTGAGCTTGATGCAGTTTCGTCGCTATTGCGTGGTTTCTGCGATGCTGTCGTAGAGGTGGATCAATCTTTACGCATCACCGAAAACTCACACCAACTTCTTACAATCCTCCTCCGATCTAGCAATCAGGCATGCTTGGCAGGGAAGGATTTTGTTGAGCTCTTCTGCATCGATGACCAACCGCGGGTGCATGAGTGCCTGACAAATGTGAGTGACACACACACACACTCATGCGGTCAACTCCCGGCTTTTGGACACCGATGGAAACTACGTAAAGGTGGAACTTTTGCACATTCGATTCGTCACGGCAGGAGGTGACCTTCACAGAAACTTGCCAAGACAAGCAGATGTGCGGGCATGCTCCACAGGGACATTGTTCGGGTTTTGTGAAACTGTTTCTGAAGCATCTGGTTCACTTGAGCACCCCATCTCAGAAAGGTAACTGTGAGGGAATTCTAAACCCCTAAGGACTGGTTGGTATTCGGGAGTATCAGGACATGCAGGATGTGGCAGTGAAAGCTCTTCCACCAGCGCACTCACCTCAGGGAGTGCCGCAGGGAGTGCTGTACGACACAGATGCTTGGCTTCAATGCAAAAGTTCTGTGTACGGCATTTTTCTTCAGGATTTGGCACATGGTGGTTTTGTATAAATCTCCTCTGGGCTTCCTTTTGAGAGAATTTCCTGATGGCATCACATGACGTGAATGGTTTGCAGATATAATTTGATATAACGTGCTATCCGAAGTTCCAATGCTAAAATGATTGGAAGGAATATACATAGAAAATACTACGCACATATCATCCACACACTGTGTGCATCTTTTATTCTGTCGCATGAGCACTTTGGATACCTCAGGAGACCACCACGGACGAAGAACCCTTGCCTGGAACTCCAACACTCATGTGCTTTGGCTTTGAAACTTGTGGAAGATGCTGAAAGGCACGTTTTATATGTTATACCCTAGTCTTTGAATTTCTTCTCGGGGTACTTTACTACTTCAAGTAAAGGGTTGTATATGTTGTATATCACATAGTATCCAGTTTGACAGAAATGGCTCAGCGACAACTGGGAAATGGTTTCCCACACCTTGCAGCTTGCACTTCCAGGTTTGACATTGGATCGTTTGCTATCTTGGAAGCCAACCAGGCACTTCGCAAGCTCACTTTGAAGTTCCTTGTTTGCTAAAGGAATACAATAACATCAATTCACAGCTGTCCTGAGACTGAGAGGTAGGCTTAAGGCGGTTGAGGATGAATAATCTCAAGCCCTTCAACACTGCGTTCACCCTTACACTTCATTCTTTTCATTTTGTAACATCAAAGCTATGAAAACTGCGGTTATGATGGAACCACTAGCAAAGTAGCACTGTATTTGGAAGACTGCATTGAGGAAGCCATTGCTTTTTGTTCTCAACATTCATTCGCAGTCACTAGCAGTCACTAGCACCTCGATATACCTCGATATACCTCGAGACTGAGGTGCATAGGTGCACACGTGAAGATGTCGAAGGTCAACCTTTGGGATCTGTCACCAGACCTGAGCTTTCGTCGGCTATCTGGACCAATCCAGGAATCATGGCTTTTCATGGCTTTTCATGGCTTTTCCAACATTTTTTTGTAACAACACAAGCTGTTGTGGCAGAGGTGTGGCGAGGTTTTCCTTTCCCAAGTTGGTTTTCTAAGAATTGACTCTCTGCGTCAAGGACTTGGTGAACTCACAAGCATGCTCAAGCATTGAGAATGTATCTGCAGAGATGGATCTTGGAGAAATGGTTCTTCTCCGCAACATGCAGGCATGTAGAGACTCATTGGACTGCATTGGATACAAAAGTTCAAGGTTCTTTGTTTCATTTGGATTCATTTGGTTGATTTGAATCTGCATAATTTGCAAAGATTTTGTATGACAAATCGAGAGAGCTTTGATTCTCATTGTTCAGAACAAGCGGCAGTTAAGAATTGGTCACATTTTAAATCTGCATGAAAGCCTTGAAGGTCTTAGCAAAAGTCAGTGTGCAGTGGGATCCAGTATTCGAGAAGCTCGTGGGAACGCTGTTTCTCTACCCAACAGGAATTCCTGCGCTCACCAAGGTGCGGAGTTGCTGTTGCAACAGAAGACGGGTACCAGATGGTGTCAGTAGGTCATACATTTTACATCATTATACGATGAATCGCATGGTATCCTTTACATCTCTGACTTTCCCATGACTGTGCCTGACCGCATAGTTTGAACCCATCAACATCCTAAGTGAATATGATATGAAACAATTTTCTTCGCTTCTTTGGAACTGTTTCGCTTTCCTAGACAGATATGTAATATGGATCCAGCCATGCACATCGAATCGTCGAAGCGTTTCGGAAGAGAACATTGGTTCGATGGCCACGTGGCATCGCAGGCAAACGTCGACCGACTCGAGAATGGCCGTGGAAAGCGTCGCAAAAGGCGACACGGGACTGGAAGCCATCGCAGCCGGAGCAGCCGCAGCAGTTCAGGCACCTGTGATTTCACATGATTTCACGGGATCATGAAATTCATGAAATGGCCATTTTGACGTGAGGGGCATGCTGTCCTTTTCATAGTAGAGTAGTTTGTGTGCAGTGGCTGGAATAAATGTTTCGAATCTATGTAAATTTATGCACATCTTATGATTTTGCCTTTGGAGGTTCTTCGCTTCATGGTAGCTGTAGGTGATGAATATACGCAGTTGCGCCTAAAACCTTGCACTCATGAAAGGCATCTTTCTCAATGATGTTTCTTTACTGTGTCGCGCAGGTGCCAGCAGCACCAGCGGCAATATTTTGGACCTTCATCGGACCATACCGCTGTAGTCTCTTACACATTTGAGTGACACAATCCCGAATGAATTCGAACTTGAGCTCTGCAGCAGACAGAACAGTCAAGCCATTTGCCAGAAAAACTGGGTCACTTCACCGTGCCTCTATCCTGTACATGCACACACGCACACACACACATAATTATATATATATATATATACACATGTATATATATATATAAAACGGGCTAGCGCCCGGGTGCCGCCGACCCCTCCTTCTTTGGGACACAACGCTATTATGTTAGGTCTACTACGCTTTGGGGTATCGTTTGCATTGTGCAAAGGCTGGCAAACGGCAACCTTGGACGCCTAAGAGAATTGATTTGGCCTTGGACCCCCATGACGGGTTGTAAGGGTTTTAAGCGTTTGGACGGTTTTTAAGGGTTTTAAGCGTTTAAGGGCTGGCAAACGGCAGGCTTGGACGCCTATAAGAAGACATTGATGTGTGGCCTTGGAGTGCCTGTTGGCTGCAGGATGAAGCATGCCAAGGTTCCCTTGTGTTTAAGGCCTGGCAAACGGCAGGCTTGGACCCCCCATGACGGGTTGTAAGGGTTTTAGGGGTTTTAAGCGTTTGGAGGGTTTTTAAGCGTTTAAGGGCTGGCAAACGGCAGGCTTGGACGCCCATAAGAAGACATTGATGTGTGGCCTTGGAGTGCCTGTTGGCTGCAGGATGAAGCATGCCAAGGTTCCCTTGTGTTTAAGGCCTGGCAAACGGCAGGCTTGGACCCCCCATGACGGGTTGTAAGGGTTTTAAGGGTTTGGAGGGTTTTTAAGCGTTTAAGGGCTGGCAAACGGCAGGCTTGGACGCCCATAAGAAGACATTGATGTGTGGCCTTGGGGTGCCTGTTGGCTGCAAGATGAAGCACGCCAAGGGAATGTTTAAGGCCTGGCAAACGGCAGGCTGCGACGTCCATAAGAAGCCATTGATGTGTGGCCTTGCGGGCCTGGCAAACGGCAGGCTTGGACCCCCATGACGGGTTGTAATAAGGGTTTTAAGCGTTTGGACGGTTTTTAAGGGTTTTAAGCGTTTAAGGGCTGGCAAACGGCAGGCTTGGACGCCTATAAGAAGACATTGATGTGTGGCCTTGGAGTGCCTGTTGGCCGCAGGATGAAGCATGCCAAGGTTCCCTTGTGTTTAAGGCCTGGCACCCCCCAACGGTTTTAAGGGGCTTGGACCCCCCATGACGGGTTGTAAGGGTTTTAAGGGTTTTAAGCGTTTGGAGGGTTTTTAAGCGTTTAAGGGCTGGCAAACGGCAGGCTTGGTTTAAGGGCTGGCCGGCATAAGAAGACATTGATGTGTGGCCTTGGAGTGCCTGTTGGCTGCAGGATGAAGCATGCCAAGGTTCCCTTGTGTTTAAGGCCTGGCAAACGGCAGGCTTGGACCCCCCATGACGGGTTGTAATAAGGGTTTTAAGCGTTTGGAGGGTTTTTAAGGGTTTTAAGCGTTTAAGGGCTGGCAAACGGCAGGCTTGGACGCCCATAAGAAGACATTGATGTGTGGCCTTGGAGTGCCTGTTGGCCGCAGGATGAAGCATGCCAAGGTTCCCTTGTGTTTAAGGCCTGGCAAACGGCAGGCTTGGACCCCCCATGACGGGTTGTAAGGGTTTTAAGGGTTTTAAGCGTTTGGAGGGTTTTTAAGCGTTTAAGGGCTGGCAAACGGCAGGCTTGGACGCCCATAAGAAGACATTGATGTGTGGCCTTGGAGTGCCTGTTGGCTGCAGGATGAAGCATGCCAAGGTTCCCTTGTGTTTAAGGCCTGGCAAACGGCAGGCTTGGACCCCCCATGACGGGTTGTAAGGGTTTTAAGGGTTTTAAGCGTTTGGAGGGTTTTTAAGCGTTTAAGGGCTGGCAAACGGCAGGCTTGGACGCCCATAAGAAGACATTGATGTGTGGTGTGGCCTTGGGGTGCCTGGTTGGCATGGCAAACGGCAGGCTTGGACCCCCAGGACGTGGCAAAGGGCAGGCTTGGACGCCCATAAGGAGAAAGAAGACATTGATGTGTCGCCTTGCGGTGCCTGTTGGCTGCAGGATGAAGCATGCCAAGGGAATGTTTAAGCGATGGCTTTTAAGGGCTGGCAAGTGGCCTTGGAAAGCTAAGAAGGAGAAGTTCCACACCTGCGGTGGTCCCAGGCGCCGCCCCTGCCTTGGCCAAGGCCGGGGTCGGCGGATATATTATAGATGGAGAGATAGAGAGATGGACAGATGGATAGATGATCTGATGCGTGGATCGACAGATTATGCATGGATAGGTGGATGGATGGGTAGATAGTAGAGATGCGATCGGTACGTACATACATACTTAGTCTAGTGCTAGAAAAGGCCCTACAGAAGAGGCTTTGTATGAGATTTCTACTTCAGCTGCTTTGAGTTGCTGCAAGATCGTAGCTAGGGACCTTCTTTTATGATGACTTTCTTCAAGAGAATTGCATTTGTGATCCACTGCAGCTTTTGAAATGCATGAAACACTTGTCAATCTAGAGTCTAGTCTAGAGTCAGGCCATGATGCACAGATGATGTCGTTTGTTATGCAGAGCAGTTTGATCGTTCATAGACGTTCAGTATCAGCCACACCGTTGATGCTCAGAAGCCTCGCCTGTTGGCGTTGAAAAAAACACGGAGCATTTCTTCCAACTGAAATTCCGCGCTTCTGAGCACTTCATGCAGCGGCAGGGAAAGAAACACAGACTCTCATGCTCCGCTCCATGATGCTGTTCCTCTTTTTCTGCATTTTGAAAGTAGTTCAGGCCGGGTGATTCCAAGCCTAGATGATTTTCGTTCCTTGTTTTTGGCCTTGTTTTTCTCCCAGTCATTTGTTTTGCTTGAAGGGGAGCACTATCGCTTTGGAGTGCCAGACCCAGGTTGTTTAAAGTTGTCCAACTTGAGGGACCTTAATTGCTGGAGATTGTACTTCATATAATTAGTATGTATCCATGATGCACATTTGTACATATGATATGTGTATATATATATACACTGTATATATATATATATACTGTGTATATATATATACTGTATATATATATATATACTGTATATATATATATACTGTATATATATATACTGTATATATATATATATTATATATATATATATATATTCATGTAGAAGACATTATCATGTATCATGCACGTGCCGATTTGTTTTCGAGTATGTCAATGATAACTTCTATGCTTCTTCTTGATAACGGTCTGCCTATTTTGCTTCCCTGCCCATGAGGCCGGACTTTGATTTGATTTCCTTTACTCCCAAGGACACTGGTTGCAAAGAGCTGCAAGACATTCTGCATAGTAGACTCGGTGACTATTGGGTATCAGATAGTTGAGTGAGTGACTTCAAGCTCCATTAAACCAAGTGAGAACGGTGCGACATTCACATGTTGCACTGGTGGACTGATGCAACATGGTCAGGATGGCAGCACTTTGAGTGGTCGAGAGGCATCCTGCTAAGAATAGAAGATACGCTAGTGAAGTTAGTGCGTAGGTCTTGGTTTTCAGCATTCTTGTGTCACCATTCTTGTCCCAGAAATTTTGCGCCAGCGTGACATGTGGAGGCCCTCACCGTCGTGTTCAACCTTGCAGTCAGTAAGCCCCAGTCTTCTGTATGTTTGCAGACCAGCGCCAAGATTATGCTTGGAAAACCCTGCTCTCTAATTTTCCAAAACTTTTCAAAAGTGCCTGAAGTCATGTAGATAGAAATGAAAAAGTGCTTATTTGAGACACAGCAGGTGATCCCTTTGGGAGCAGACCTGGGAGATGGACCTCTTCCTCAGGAAAAGATCTTGGACAAGTTGTGACAACAAGTTGTGACAACAAGTTGTGACAACAAATTGTGACAACAAGTTGTGACAACAAGTTGTGACAACAAGTGTTTTTGGAACTGCGGCAGTTCTCAGGTCTTGCTGATGTTGAATTGACACAGTCACTGCCAGGACTATGTGCCGTTTGTTCTTGAGGCACGTCCTGTCGTCCAGGAAAGATGAGCTCCATTTGGATCTGGTCTCTTTGCATTTCTTACCGTTGGCAGGGTACAGGGGTGCCTGGCCACTTGCGATGGGTGAGTTCAAGCACAGCACGCAGATGGCTCAGTGAAACTGCACGGCAAGAATGTTGTGAAGCGCCCTTGATGGGAACTGATGTTTCAGCAATTACTAAAATGTCACCTGCATATACATGCATACCCGTGTGCTTTCTTGCCGGTGCAAATTTACAACTTTCCGAAGAATTGTCAGACCAAACCCCACGCAGTTGGATTTCTCTATGGCAAGCACTGTACACTGAGGCTTTGACCCCTCCATTGACTGGCCTAGCGATCTCAAGGACGGCTTCGGCCAGAGAGTGTGTTGGATGGTCCTTGCTTTGTCTTGTACTACACTCGCAAGGACATAACAATTGAGTTCAACTCGAGGATAAGGAGTCTTTGGCCTGGCTAAGACTTCTGAATTTAATTTGAAGCTAAATATTCTAGTGGCATCTAGTGGCATCTAGTGGCTAGAGTGGGTTCATCGCTTACAATTCTGAGGCGTAAGCGGGAAGAGCCTGCGAAAAGCACCAAAACCGCCGCTCTGCTTGTGAGAATTGACAGGTGTTTGTGTGATTTTGTGTGCTGGTTGCGAGGATTCTCCTGCGTCAATGAGGCACAATTGAAAACATAATCCACTACTTCGAGAAGCAAAAGTTTACTTCCTATAGGCTATATAGGTTCATGTAAGTTCTGTAGACTGTGTCAGGCAACAACGACCTTAATATTTCAATTTATTTGTCAGTTTCTCATGAAATCCAGTTTTCCTGGTGACATTCTCTGAAGTGGCACCAAGGCGACACTTTTCTACAGCTTCTTTGACTTACTGGGCAGCAGCCCGAGAGTTAAAGAAAGGGTGAAGCTGGCTAACTATGGGTATATTGCAGTGCGAATATTGCAGTGCTTTTGAATATCTAAAAGGTATGGTTGACCATCATGATTTCATGTTGTCTTCGTATTTTCTTCCTGAGTTTCCTGCTTTGGTCGAGAATACATGCCTTAGCTTTGGCTTTTGCATAGTCAAACTGAAGGTCCGAGGTTTGATTGCCTTTCTTGAAATGGTTGTAGAAAGGAAACATGTAGCTTTTAGCTCCAGTATCTTTGGTGGAGGCTCAAACAGAGCTTTGCCTCAAGATTTGCTTCATAGTTTGTTTCAACGTTACCTGACAATATGTAAATCACATGAAACGCATAGTGATTATCAACCTGTTTCGAAGCTCTTCCTCCTTCACGTTACATAATTGTAGCTATAGTCACTATGTAGTGGCAGAAGTATACCTTTCAAAAGAGCAAACGCAAGACGGAAACGAGGCTCCAGCTATTCCTTCACGTGCTGACATTTGCTTCAACTTGGAGAGATGAAACAGCTTTAAAAACTTGGATTTTGCAGACAGTGAAACTTGATCTGGGAAAAATGAAACGCCTTGTCAGCACATTTGCTGTTTTGCAGTGCTGCTTTGCTTTGAACTGTACGCTTTCCGATCCCTTTCCGATCCTTTTCGACTTTTCATCAACTTTTCTTCGGAATCACGATCAAGGCCCGAGACGTGAAGTCACAAACCCTCGAGAAGCTGACTGACAACTGCTGGAGTTCTTCTTTGGAGGCCTGGTATGTTGCAATAGGCTCTGCAAATGTGCATTGCCAAGCTATGATTGGTACTACGGACGGATTAGAATTCCGTAGTGGTTGTCCATAAAGCTGACAAAGTTGCTTTTGTTCGACCAGCATGACCTGCTACAGCACGACGGCATGCTTCTTCTGCGAAACCATGATTGGTTTTGCTCGCGCCTTTTTGCGCGACATGAAGTCACCATAGGTCACCGATATGCTACCAGCTGCTACCACAAGTCATGTCAGGGCTAAGAATCCTCCTCACTGCTAGTCTTCCAGTGTGAGCAAGCATGATGAGAACGGGTGAGCGGATGGTAGGGGCACTGGAGTGCAGGACTATGATGATTATTGCATGTATGCTAAATGTCACACCCAAAGCAACTTTTTTGAGCTGGGGTGGATGTGTGGGTCGCGGGGACAGGAGGAGAAGTTCAAACCGAGAAATGCGCATGCTCGGGACTTATCATCATATACATTGCTATTTGGAGCTTGAAGAGAGTTCACTCTAGGATCCATCAACACATGCTACTCACTTACCTTGCTGCACTTTCTCCTCTTTGCTAGGGCATGCGTTGGGATTGCTGGGACAGACTAGCACTCCGAAAAGATCCTCAAAGCACTTGTTTTCTCTCAAGAGCATAAATTGGCATTTGATGTTAGTCAACTCTTCCTCTCCAAGGAAAAAGAACTTGATCCTGACACAATTTATACCCTTGTCAATCCCTTGTCACAATCTCAGGAATGTCCTTTTGACGCGCAAGTCCTGATCAGCTTCAACTTCCCAGTGGTTGTGGATAGGCCATGACTCTCGCGGAGTGTTTTTCCTTGTGTATTTGGCTTCTGTCATCGAAAGATTGAACATGGCCTATCCATATGATCCATGATCAGCTCGACAGTTGCCAAAATAACTGTCTCCTTTTGTCCACAACATGGACTATCATAAGGAGACTGCATCAGGTTTGTCCAAGATCCATCCATGTTCGAGCTGACAGAAGGCAGGACAGAGTTTGCACCATTCAGATCAAATTCTTTATATAAATCCCTCTTTCTTAGCAGCAAAAGTCCACAGGATGTGCACAGTTGCAGGTGGGATGATGTTCACTCATACGTTGCCAATCGCGAGCATCGCACCATGCCCTCAAGAGGTGTGCGCACGTGTGAAGATTAGTCTATGCACGAGCAAGTCGTGTATAGTATTCTGTTTGTAAGCTACATCGTTGCAATATTGAGGATGCCGTTTAATTTGCCACGATATTGGAGTGCTCGTTGGAATTGATGATTCGGTGAGTTCAATTGTCAGTGTTTGTGTTGTGCAAGATTTTTTAAAGCAATACTCAATAATCGTTGAGTGCCCTCACTCACAGGTGCCAAAGCCTTTGCACTTAGATCTAGGAGGGCCTGCAGTTGTCAATCAGTCCAGATGCCTGATTCTCAGTGTGGTCGATTGGTCTGAAAAAAAGCAGCAAGTCAGATCCTAAATCCGTCCTTTCTGAGCCAGTCTTTATATTCTTCATTCCTTGATTATAGATATGTGTCATTGTCACCTCTTTGAGTCAGCTTCCTTGACACGTTGGCTGGACGGATTTGTTTTTGGGTGGCATAGTTTGCAGCCAGTTTTTCCACCACACTTTTCAATTAGCGCACCTCCTGGCCTGCCTTTTTGTTTCGGGTTTCCATGGACGTACGGATTGACCCGCACTGTCATATATGCCCTTCCCGTTTTTGTTTGCTTTATTTCCCTCCACCTCCACCACAGAAATTGGAGCTTTTTGCCATGTTTCATGAGATCAGATCGGAATTCAAGCCCCCTTTCTGAATATGTTGACATTTGACCACAACTTGAACCAGCACAGCAGAAGGCTCTTTTGGTATTTGTACTTTGCTCCCAGTCTATTTGTCATTCTCGCATTTGTCAAAATGTTTTCCAAACTTTCATGGATTTGCGATCACGAGAGGAGACTGAGGAAAGCTATGATCAGTGTATCAGAGTCTATCACAACAAAGCTACCACAACCATATCCGTTGAAGCAGAATCGTTGATTACATTACGGGCGCAAGCTGCACTAAGCAAACATCACAGTCATACTATATATTGTGATCTTTTGTGCCTGGGGCAAAAATGAGGTCTGTCGGTCCGGCTTCCCAAGACATTGGAGACGGGAGCGGTCTTCCACTCAGAGCGTTGAGTCAGAATCTGCTATTGCTTTCCATCATTTTCCAGCAGCCGGGGTGAGGACTATAGGCTACAACTACGAAAGGGGGCTAGGCAGCCCTCCTGAAGATTGTTGCGAGTGATTTGCTTTACGGTAAAAATTGTCTTAACTTCTTTTGGATTCAATCTTCCAGACCTGCGCAACCATCATGGGTTATATGGGTTTTGTATGGTTTTGTCATTTGCTTTCAAGTTCACTGATCGCCGATTCCCAGCTGCATTCTCTTGGGCTTCCAGTTCCTTGATAGGTATCATCCGTTTGCTGGTCCATATGCTGGAGGTGCATGGCCCTGAGGTAACTTTCAAATCTGATTCCGAAGTTGTCTTGGCATGTCTTGGCAGCGACAGGTGATAGTTCAGAGCCCATCAAACTCACCGGGCTTCGACCCTTTCAATTCAAATTCTTGAAGCCGGTGGCTCAGACCTTTGTGACTAATCAATTGCTTGGATTTGAGTCAAGCGGCAGTTGATCCCACTTGCAGGATTCCGTCTTCATACTGATTCATACTTGTCAAGTACTTCTTGAGATTTCATGACAGAGAGGAAACAGCTTATCAGATCTTATCAGTGCTGAATTGTGAGGATGTTCTCTGAAGAGTCACACTATTCGTTACTTTTGTTACTATCTTCCACACTGTAATCCTCACACTGGCCAGGCGACACTTCAGGAGAGTGAAAGTCTCAGCACTGTCCACTGACACGCACACACCCACAGAGAATTCCCATTTCAGTTGTGGCAGCTCCGAGGAACTGTTCAAGATTTACCTTCGACATGGCTTGAAGGCATTCACGCAATCGGGTCAGGTCAACAGTAAACATGTCACACGCACACACACACACTGCCCCCGATCGGATTCTCAATCCTTCAATCTCCATTATCAGCGAAGAAATCATGTACTGAGCTTCATTGGCTACTGAGTGGCTATTCTGCCTTTCACAACCTGCCACTGCCTTTGCTGCTTTGCGGAGACAGGCTCCAAGTGAAAGCTTGCAGAATTTGCAGCGCGCCTTCAGTGTTACAAATCGGGTGGACGGCCAGGCCGGGGACAGACTAGTCCTTAGGTACGCTTTTCTGAAGTTGTTTTCGCTGACCTGCAGCTGCTCAGCTTCAGGTATTGCCACATCAGCTCACTTTAAAAAGCAATTCAACGCTTCAGCTGAAGGCAGGAAAACATCCTATTCCTGTGCTGCAATGAAGTATGGTCTTGCAGCAAACTTTCTGGTCTTGTGCATCGCCAGGTGCAGGGTTTACAGCCAGAAGAGGAGCTATAAGCTTAGTTGATCTTTGCATGTAGCTATGTCCAACAGCAAGTGGTACTCATCATCCTCAATGCAAACAAGTGTATCAATCACTTGGCAAACTGAAGCATCACCTTGCAGGTATGTGATTTCTGTGTCTCCTCGAGCTGATGTCCTTAGCTGAGTCAGAGCCATTCTTGACTACTGTCCAAATTTTGGATTGTAAGAATCTTAATTTCTGGATTCATGAAAGGAATGTGAAGTTCAAGTCACTTCGCCACATTTTTTTGCCTTCAGAGAGGTTTTGGGTGTAAGGATGTTTGTTGGCCAAACTGAGTCTCAACCACACAGCTGCCGCTCAACGAATATGCCAAACAGCCCAAAAAGTGATTATTTTGAGCTCACACAACTGGCAAAGTGGCCTGTCAATTTAGACTGTATACTGGGATATACTGGGTACATTTTCTGCAAAAAGTTGCTGCTTCAAAGAATATGCATTTTTCAGCCATTCCCGGGTCAACAAAGCCTGCGTTGAGCCTGATATGTTCCTGAAAGAAGCTTCTGGTTCGGCTGACGCTGGGCAGTAGGATCGTTTTGAAAATCTTGTAAAACCAAAATATATCCGAGCAAAAATGGCAACATTTGGCTAAGACTATGCTTTGTGCAATTGCTAACAATTCATGCGACCCCTGTAAGACTGCCCTGTATTTGTCTAAATTCTAAATATTCACTGCGTCTCAGTAGGACTTTGAGAATGGCAGAGCTATTGTGCCACAAAGGGATCATGTGGGTTTGACTTGCAAGGTTGTGGACGGTATGGGCTTGGAATTGCAGGACCTGGCCTAGTGCATTTGTCGTGGACATTCGTGGACACAACGCATTCCAATCGTTGCGCTGCTTTTAAAGCCTTTTCACTTTCCACAGTTGATTCATTGCTGAGTATGTCAAGGAATCCAAAGGCCAGCTGAAGATGGGCAACCTGCCAGGCACAGTTCAAGCGCTTGTTCCACACATGAAGTTCTGGTCATTTCGATTTCGATCAAACTTCCGAAAGAAGGCATCAATTTCGATCACTTTGGCATATTTTTGCACATCACTGTTTCATCACTGTTTCGACATGTTTCGACTATTTCCATACATAGTGCAAGGTATTTTCCTGGCACCAGAGCCGCGCAATCCTGGTCTGTGGACTTCAGCCTGTTCAGATCGTTTCATGCCAAAAGATGCTCCAGTGAATGGCTAAGCGCAGTTTATGTCATGAAACAACTTATTCATCCAATGTGTCCAATGTTCACTCTGTGTCATCAAAAGGACCCAGACCCTCCAAGAGTGGCGACATTTCATGGGCCCAGGAAATCTTTCCGCTACTGCAGCGGCAGCCTCCTCTAGACATGATGAGTTGCCTGACAGGTTCAGAAACGCTGTAAAATACCCAATACACAATGATGTTCTCAGAAAGCTCTGGGATCGAATCGAGTTGTTTCCCAAAGGTAGCTGACAATGCCATTCTTGCGACTTGCGACATGTTTTTTTCTTGATTGTGTGTTTCTGGCTACCCTGGCACATCGATGACAAAGCATCAGGGATGAGTGACTAATCTCCAGAAAGTGCAACTTTTGCGTGTCTGTGGGAAGTGTATACCTACTTTGCAATTTAAATACACCATTTCTGACCATGAATGGTGATCACAGGTGCATGTGCAACACATTGCCTTTTTGGGAGCCTAAGGTTCAAAGGTAGATATAGAAGCCTCGATGCAGGCTGTCGGGTTGGTGCGATGACCTTTCAGCTGCATCCAGTGTTGTTTGAGATTTAGATTAGATAGTTCAGCACAGGCCTTCGTATGCTCTATATCCTCAACAAGCGAACTTGGGTGCGCGTGCAAAAGTTGGAAGTCACATGGTGGTCGGATGCTTTGACTGGCTTGACCAGTGACTGCTTTGAACTTGACAGGGACTTCCTGACTTTTTTCTTCCAACCAGTGAAGGCAGGACCAGAATTTTGGACAAGCCTTGCAGAGATGGATTGTGCAAAAGCAATCTGGTGGCCGATTACTATCCATGATACGAGGACACTTCAATGGCAGGACCATGTTCAAAGAGATCTTTCCAGGCTGGTGCATTCAAGTGAAGTCATCAGTCATCTATGTCGATTCTCTCTGGGTGCGGGTGCAGGCTCATCCGGGTGTCATTCTAGCAGCTGGAAAACATGCCGTCCGATTCAATGAGATCCCGTTGAACTTCCCGAAATCCAGGCCCGCTGTAGACTGCTACTGCTGCTACTGGTAGACTGGTAGACATCATTTCATGATTTGTATGATTTGTATTGCCTGAGGCTCTTGTTCCTGGAGTTGACCTGTGTTGGAAAGAATTTGGGGGCACATTGCGCGAGCGAGAGTTGCTTGGACGCACTTAGGCTTCGATAGCGACAGAATCTTCTTCTAGAGCCTACAAAAAACACCGATTTGTATCTATTTGTCTATTTGCATCCATTTGGTGGATTTTGCAGGGCATCATGAAACTTCTAAGGACTGGCAAGCCGACCAAGTCGAACACGATTCCTGAATGCTGCATCCTTCAGCGCTGTTGTAGTGTGAGGCTCAAGGTGACTTTAGGGTGACTTCAGGGTGACTTTCCATGGCATTTCATCTTATTCTTCCGTGGCACTGATCAAGTCCAGACGCCGAAGCAATCCAGGCCTTTGCAAAGCCTAGCTCCTCACCATATGCAGCTCTTGGAGAGTTGTTTGGAACACAGAGGTGTTGTTCTTTGTTTCCGGCATGGAGGTGAAACCGCCCTGAAACATGTGAGATCAATTGAGATCACATGATGAGATGGCAGTGAGTCCAGAGGAAGAATTCTGCCAGTGGAATCCATTGGGGGTGTTGTTCTATTAAAACAAATTGAAACCTTGTGAGCCTTTCTAGCGGGTTGCACATGGCGGTGTCTTCAGAATTGAAACTCCAAGGCGACGGACAACTATCTTGGTGTCCGTTCACAATTTAGATCAAACGGCTGCAGCTGGTTACCAGGCGCAATGTATACCTTCGTTTCAGAAATCTCAAGGTGATGTTCGATGTTTTGCCAATGCTCTTTTGGTTTCAGTGAAGAATGACCTGCAGCCTGCAGTGCCTGCAGCCTTAGGGCCTTAGTTGTTCTCTGAGTTGTTGAGGTGGAGATTTGGGAGATCCCCAGCACAGATTGGATTGGTGACCGAAGCGTACAGCCTCCATCCAGAAGGACCAGACTACGAAAAGAGATGAACACATAATATCAAATAAATTCAAATAATACACTTTGCGACTTGGCACATTTCTTTAAAAGTTGAACACATTGGTGGAATCCATCCTTCCTATTGCGCTGAAACTTTGTGCACGCTCTCCATCAATCCTTTCGGATGTGTCCATGCAGTTTGTGCCAATGCAGAATTGAACAGGATTGGAATGGAAAGCACTGACTCTCATGGACGAGCTCTGTTTTACCTCCCAGAGGCATTTGCCAAGCCACGTGTGCAAGATTGTGCAAGCCAATGGGCCAATGAGTGGTATTTGCACTTGCCTGACTTGCCTGCAATGTGCGTCAAATGACAGGAAGAGACTGTTGGAAATCATCTCCGAGATGCGAAGGCAAAGTTTTGGCAGATGGGAACAATTGCAAGGTTTTGGAATTTTGGAAGATTTTATTATTGTGTTTTTGCTTGTGTGTACAAACAGCTATGGCTTTTGGGGTCTTGGCCATTTTAGGGCCTGAGCGAAGTCAGAGTCCAGAAATTGCAAAACTTCTTGGATCGAAAGTTTCTGAGGGGTTCAAAAGAATGGTTGCGGATATTTGGGCTGTTTCCACATGCAGTTGGAACCAGAAAATGGAGATGCTAGGGAGCCTCGAACTGTTTGGTTGTCACAGGGAGGCATGAGCCAAAACATCGAGGCTACTATCTTTCTGCAGCAAACAGCATCAATATCCCTGTGGTGTGCAGCTTGCCGGTTTTCTATGTTTCCTCAGTGTTTTACAGTATTGCTGTTTTCTTTGCATGAACTAGTCGTGCCGCTAATCAAATAGGGCTTCGTCGCGGTGATCGTCAATCCGAAGAGCGGCGAGATATTGCTAGGGGATTTGCCGCAAGCTTTGAGTTGTTGCACCGTTGCTCCGTGGCACCAAACCGAAAAGAATGGCTTTGTTGGTCCTCATGAGTTGAGCAATTCTGCACTGGAACTTGACAAAGTCTACAACTGAATCTTTCACATGTTTCACATGTTGTACGTGGGTTGAGGCTGCGTCTTCCACCAAGCCCTTCAATTGCCTCACAGAGTTGGGGGGCAAAACAACTGGCTGGAGTGGACAAATGTAGGACATTTTGGCAAGTTGCCGCTAAGTTTGCTTGAAGGTTGCATGATGGCCCGTGATGGCTAATCATGATAGAATGCAATGCATTTTTGATGCATTTTGTGTATTTTTGCGCTTTTGTGTTGCATTTGAAGTTAATTTCATTGAACACATCATTTGTTCAACAAAGCACTTCTCTGGCCTTTAGTGGCCCTACTTGAGGGCCCATGGAGCAGTTAACAAGATGTCCTTTTCTGATAAATGTGTGAAAGATTGTGAAAGCATTCAAAGCAAAAACATACTTCCCGCTGGACTCCGCTGGACCCAGACTACTCTCCTGGTGAGTCATTTGTTTCAACGAGGTCAAGCCCTTGCTGCTTCCCTTCGGTTGTACATCACGACTGATCGAGCAGTCTATGCTGGAAGCTTATGGAAGAAAATGGAAAGGAGATGAAAGGAGCCGATGAGTCGACCATTCGACATCATTCGACCGTGAGTCCTTGCAATCGTTGCAACCAAGGCTCCGGGAGATGCTCTCGCTTTGATGGGAGTCATTGCTGCTCTTGGCTCTGACTGTCCAGGGAAAAAACCAGGCGAAACGTGGCGAAACGTGACGTAACTGGAATCCAAGCCGATTGAGTCAACTTTTTTCAACTTGTCAATCCAAGATGTCAGGAAGAGAACCAAAAATCCAGCCACACTATCCAAAGCGACTTCGTTTTGATTCTGGTTCACAGACGCCCCTAGTAATTTGTGAAAGGAATTCCACCTAATCGCCCTCCTGACATGGGGAGACCTTGCTCCATTCAAAAGACCCTCACTCACAACAGATTTGGAGAGTCCTCGCGTCACAACACTACTGCACTGGGTTTGGCCTGTAGGCAACATGTGTTCGCCTACCAGTCTCAATGCTGGTGCAAATCTTTGTCTCCCTGGGCACTGTTCTCATTCGGCAATGGGCTAAGATGACAGACGTAGCAAGAGATGCTGCTGGAAGATTGCCAGATTAGTGGCAGCAAAGGCTTGAGGCTCTTCCAGAAGTAGGTGACACGTTCGTGAGGAATACCTTCATTTTCGCAGGGTCTAGTGTCGTGAATGTCGTGAATTGAGCTGCACCAAAGCTGATGAAAATGCTTCCAACATCTTTGGCTCCAGCTGAAGTAAGAGGGGAAAGAGAACTCGACTGAACCCGATAGCTCGATTCCTGGACCCAACTTTCAAAGTCTGATCCCTCATGAAGTGTAACCACATCGGAGACTTGCAAAGATGCACAAGTCCTAGGCGTACAAAGCTTTTTGCCTCGGCTTTTCGAAGTCAAGTTTGAAATATGCCTTCAGACTTCCCAGTGCCGCCCAGTGCCTCCCCAAGTCATAAAACCCGAGCTCAAGAGCGCAAAGCTTTAGCTCAAGAGCTTCAAGTTTTTTTGAGCCTGAAAGTCAGAACGCAAGTGAAGTAATCCCAGCCGCTCTCCACCATGACGGCTGCCATGACGCCTGAGGCGATTTCGATAGAAGTAGAACTGATCCGAAATTGGACCGAAATCAACTGATTGGACCGATACTGTGTACTCACACTGTGTACTTCCAGGATCTTCATGCCCCGTACTGTTCCAATCAGCTGCGAGGTCTGGGACCAACTGAAACACCTACGTGAGGACAGAGAAAAGCTCAAAGAGGTGATCACTGGGCTTCCAAGATCTTCTAAATTATCTTCTAAATTCTTCTAAAGAGGTGTTTTTGGAGTGGTTTCAGAAATCGACCTAAAAGTCATATAAAGTCATTGGTTTTGCTAGTTTCATTTGCGAATTTGCTCGCAACTTGTAGACGAAGCTACACTGGATGCTGTCAGAGGCCGCAGAGAGAGCCCTGCAAGATGGTGATGAGGGTGGCTTTGAGTTTCAGAACATGCTGGCCAGTGAGATCACCGAAGCTTGGCACATTGCATGCCGTGGTCATGGACTCACTGACTCGATTTTTTCCACAGCCTTCAATTACACATGGATTTGGCCCTGCTGATGCTCCAAGTTGCACAAGGAGAAGATAGAAGAGATCGAGAACAAATATGGCTCTCAACCGCCTCTTCCTGGTGCAAAGAACGAGCCGGAGGCACTATTTATTCATGCACCCTTCGTGAGTGGAGCACCGGATGTGATTGCGCCTGGTTGCACTGGGGCCAATGTATTCATCATGGATTAGAGTGCATGTCCTGGTGGGTTTGAGATGGTACACAGATGCCAAAATGCGGTCAGTTTTGGGAGAGACTGGGAGGAAATGAAATGATATGAGATGATTTGAAATGAAATGTCTCAGCGCCCTGACCAAATCCATCAATGTGCGGAAATTCGTACAGGCAAAGAAAGGCTTGCCGCTGCCACCTCCACCAGCTGTTCCAGCACCGCTGGACACTCAGTGAAGCCGAGAGTATGCCAAGAGTGAAAGAGCTATGCGGGAATCATGGCACCAGGAGGGCGATGCGGCGATAACACAATTTCATAATATTTCAATAGTATTTTTTTTCACATTCGGCCTTTTGGGACTGTCGTCGCGGCTCGAGCTTGATGAATTCAGCAACAGTAATTCAGCCTGGAAATCTCTGCCAAGCATGTCAGTAAACTTCGTTACTGTCATACCTGTGCAAGCTTGTAGGAAATCGGCATCCACTGCTATGTCATCTTTACAAGGAGCCGCAGTGATGGCATGAAAGAACTGTTCTGCCAGGGCTCGGTTGAGCGCAGGCGGGTACTCCTTAAGGGAGCTAGTGGCCCATTGGCCCGAAGCTGTCTTGCCAATCGCAGGGCCATGGGGCTTGGTGCTTGTCACCTGATTCTTCACAATAGCCCGGCTGATTCCTGGTAAGTTCAAGCACAAGAGGCTTGTGGGTTTACATGAAGGCGCCCCAAGAAAACCTTGGCTGAGGGAGTGCAACTCGACCCCAGGTAGCAAGAACAGCATCTGGAAAAGTGGCAGCTTCCATATGGAGGCAAAATGTGGCTCTTCTGGCTCACGTGTGTGTTCAATGGTAGCGGAGCCACCCACCCTGACCAAACGCAAAAAGGCCTCAGCTGAAAAGCATAGGAGGAGGTTGCCCACGTCAATCTGCTCCAACTCCCGAAGGCGTAGGTGCGCCAAGCCCCAAAGATCTTCGGCAGTGCGGATGACGCGAGGTCCTTGTCGCTCTCCAGGTTCACATTGAACAGCTCTCGCACGAGACCAAGTCTCGCAAGGCGGTCCGGCTAAAAAGGCCAGGATCCAACCCTGGTCAATGCCATGAAGCCAAAAATTGCGAATGTCTGCCTTCGAGATATCACCTCTGTCAGAGTCAACTACTATGTCTAAAGAGACGGTGTGCACAACAATGCCACTTCCATGGTCCGCCAAGAAGGAATCCAGGAAATATTGGAAGTCACCCAGGCGCCTTCTGCCTGAGAAGGCATGTAGTACGACTCTATGCCGGCCAAAACTGCGCGGGGCCGGCCAATTGTCGGGGACCTGACACTCCAAGAGCTCGGCTTCCAGCTGTCCTAAGCCACCTTGTGCCTGAGTCATCTCAAAGTCGGATTGCAGGAAAGGCCAACTTCGCGGATCTGCAAGGAAACGAATGCGCTCAGACAAAAGGCCGCCATCCAAATGTCGAAGAGCATCTTCACGAGCATGTTCCAAAACCGTGGTGGCCAGTTGCCAAAGAGTGGTCCTGCACATAGTCCATGAAATGGGATGCTGCGTGATGCGGGACCGCACACTGGAAATGGCCTCCTCAACGGACTCCACATCCAAAAATGCCAGGCAGCAATCGTCATGCAGGCCCCAGTCAATCCCGTCAAAATCCCGCGGGGGTCGAGGTTCCCGAAGGGGTCCATGCACAGGAAGCGGTGGGAGAAGGCGATCATGTTGTTTTTCCCGATCTGCCTCCACAGAGGATCCACAACCAGGCAAGGGTGTGAAGCGCAGACCCGAACCAATGAGCCTGCTGCGACAAGCCGTGGAATTCAACAGGTGTGCCTTGAGTTTCGTGGCTGTATGGTATTCCTTCATACAGCTGCCGCATTGCGTGTGCTCATACAGGCGTCTCACGGGGTTGATCCAGCCATGTGCTCGATTTTGGTGAGCGCCTTCGCCTCCCTTGGATTTGTGTCGGCAACCACAATACATGCAGCCAAAGGTTGTTGGTGGTTGGTCCTCTGACAAACGGGGAGGCCGATCAGGTTGTTCAGGAAGAAGACCATGAAGACGAAGGTAATCACGGATCCCCTGATGAAATCTGATAAGTTGTTGCTCTCTACTTCGTTGCTTAATGGAATGTAAAACTCCTCTGCGTACCAACCGCTTCCAGTAGCGCGGATGATGCTGTGCCAGGGCTAACCACTCCTGTGGATGAGTCTCCGGCGGGTGCAGATGTGTAGCATCCAGGAGCTGATATCCAAGCCAGCGCAAATCATCCTCAACTAAGGTGACCCACTCCTGATAAGCATTCAACAGGCCCCAGTCAACAAGATGTCTGCAGCCATACAAAGTCCCCAAGTAGCGCAACCGTTGCATTCGGAAGAGCTCTGTCGGGGAAGGAAGCCCTGTCGTGGAGAGGATGAAATCATCGGTCAGGTGTTGATCTCCTGCTTGGCCCAAAAGTCTGCGATACAGGCGCATGACCGTGGCATGCAGGTAGCTCTTGAGCTTGACATCCGGGAACGTCCACGACTCCGTTCCATACGTGAGTCTGCTAAGAACTAGGCTCTGGAAAAGTTCGACTCTGCGCGCCAAAGGGAACTGTTTGTTGGCAAAGAGCAGTTTACGATGTTGCGTAAAAGCAGAATGCGCGATGCCCATACGTCGTCGAATTTCAGCTCGCAGGTCTCCGCTGTGATGAAGGATGCCGCCCAAATGGGTGTATTGTTGTACAACCCGCACGTGGTGCATGTGATATTCACCCATAACTGGAAGCACACGTGATGCAGAGGGTCCAAAAAGTTGAACTCGAAGATTTCGAGCGCCGCTGCCTCTGAAAGAGAACATCAGCTCCGTTTTGCCGGCAGCAAGATTCGGAGTCATAGCATGAGCCAGGCATTGATCAAGAAGCTCTCCCGTCACAGACTGGACTTTCGAGATCAAAGCCACCCCATTGTCGGCGCTGAGAGCAATACACAGATCGTCCATCCAGCATGGTCCGACAAAGACCTTGGCATCTGGTCCAGTTTCAACCGGGGCATTGTAGATGCGCGGTCCTTGATCATCTGGGAAACAGTCAAAAACACCTTCAGCACCAACTGCATGTTTGAAATCAGCAAGGACCCGAGACCATAAATAGCCGAAAACCACGTCGGCAAAAGCGTCTCCAGGACGCGTGCCAACAGTCGTTCGGCACACGTCCTTTTGGTCACCAATGTGCCAGTGAGTATCAAGATGCAGCGCGCGAAGTGCTCGACAAAGATGAGGTGGCAAATTGGCACGTGTCGTGGCGCAAGGAGCACGCAGGTGAGCTTGAAGGTCAGCCAGAAGATTGGGCCCTAGGTTCAACCTCTGTGCCATGGATGCTAAGACCTCATCTTGGCAAATTCCCTCCAGAGCTAATGGGCGCAGAACTCGATAGAACGCCTCTGTGAGGTCGAGAAATAGGAGCGCGCATGGTCGTCGATCTTGTTGTTGAACTCTGAGAAAGGATCTTGCCAGGTGGACCCCCAAGACGACAGGTGCTTTGCGCTGTCCTCCAATTTGTTGATGTTGCAAATAGGCCTCGTAAGTCGATGACTGTTTCAGTCTGATGGTCCTATGCAAACATTTTCCGATGTGAGAAGAGATCAAAATTGATCTATAGGCTTCGCAGAGGCCTTGACTCAGCTTGCCCTTCCACAAGGGGATAAGGCGTCCACCTTTATGTTCCAAAGGTTCTTGACCATGCAAAAGGATCTTGAGGAGAATTGGATAGGTGAACTTGGCCATGAGTGCCGGCTGAGTATTACAAATCTCGGCTGGGATACGATCAGGGCCTGTAGTTTTGCCCGTTTTGACCTGACGGAAAGCAGCTTCCAAATCCGTCAGAGAAGGAAGATCAGCAACATCCAAAGAAAGGTGTGATTCACGAAGTTCTCGAAGGTTGGCAAGCCAGTGTCTGCGCTGCTCGCTCACTGCCATGCGTTCACCCCCTTCCATGGTGCTGAAAAAGGAAATCCATCTGGTCAGAGCTGCTTCTGGCAATAATATATATATATATAATATTATAATATATTATATCAGATATGTTTTACACTTTGAAGTATTTTGAGATTTATTTTGCAATTTTTGCCTCCCAATTCTTTGCATCGTGTCTTGGCAGGCCAGGGTTTCCTTTGCCGAAGCTGCCCGGACTTGGAATGCCTGGCCCGGCGCTTGTTGCCACTGGAACGACAGACTGTTTGTTAACATGTTGATGATTCTTCAGTCCAAAATCTTGAGATAAAAATCGAATAGAATAGATGAGGAGTCAGGGCAGACTTGTCTTGGCTGCAGCTTCAGTTTGCAAACGTGCAGAACTAGGTTGTGGCAATATTCCGCCTGGCGTTAGGGCCAGCATTCCAGCAGGAGTGGCTGCAAACTTGCCTCCAGGCTGTCTTGTAGCAGTTTCTCTCAGTCACCGCTTGATCCTTTCGCTCAAGCTTTGCTTGCTGGGAATATCTACAGTTACAGTATATTTTATTTGTAGAATAATAGTGTTTTTTTAACTGAAATGTGAAGTATATATTCTCCACGCGCCTAAGAGTGTTTGGTACATCTACTTGTTGGTTGGTACTTTACAAGATGCATGTGAACATATTCACACACACATATACCCACACAGTTCATCATGCGCATGGGAATGCTTTCTCCTCCACATTGCACAACGTCTGATCCGTCCTGATTTGAGCAGGTATTCCAAACATTCCACCTGGTGTGGCCAGCGCACTTGGAAAGATGCAAGCTGTTCCTGGTGCCCCACCTGTACCAGGCGCAAAGCAAGTTGGCAGAGTCAAAGTCTTTTTAGGCTTTGAGAATGAAACGACGTGAGATCCCTTCCAAATGACTCCCATCACTGGTGGTATCACAGAGTTTTCCGAGCCGATTGTTTCAGGTTTTCCACCATTGATGGGAGTGCCTGGCGTGCCTGGCGTGCCTGGAGTGCCTGGAGTGCGGCCACCTGTGGTGCCTGGGATGGTACCACCTTTGCCACCCATCCCCGGGCAAGCAGTCAACCTCACGCAGCAGCAGGCAATGGAGCTGGGCTCTTAGCATAGCGAAGATTTCATTCCTAAATGGATTTGCACTGGCTCAGTGCTCCACCAGTTCCAAATGAAAGAAACTTTCATTATCATAAGTATCATAAGTCATGAGAATTGAAATTGGACTTCACTATTTGATTAATTTTGATTCCATTTGCTCACCTTGACCCTGCGAATCAGTTGAGGTATGAAGAGACCAAAGCTCGAGACACTGTATCCAATCTGCATTCGGGGTTCTTTAGGGAACTCAGACAATGATGCATTCAAGCTGCCCTGGAAAAATGAATTTGCTGTTCGCGGTGTTCTCCTTTCTTGACCTTTCTCAAGGTAGCGTTGTGGTCCTCGTCCTCGTTTTTTGAATTAATACCGCTTCCTTGAAGTTTCTGCACTTTGCGAAGGCACTGGAGCCAGAAGTCATTGAGCTGGTGCACTACTTCAAGATTTCAGATAGACACGCGAGGATGTTGAACGAGCAGCTCAAGTTACTTGGACTGACAACCAACAGCGACTTTGGACTATTTATTTCTTGGATGAAGCTATTTCGCGCTTGGGACATCTTGGGACTACAATCACAGCTTCTACCAATTCATTGGAGCTAAAGTTTCAAGGCCCAGAACAAGGTGTGTGGCCAGTCACAGCTCAGCATCTCTGAGGAGACGGAACAACACATACGAAGAGGATATCGCATCCTTGTACGAGATCCTGAAGGGTGCCAAGAATCCAGGATTGGAACAATGCCTTAATGGGTTCGCAGTCCATTTCTGCCATTACACTGCTCTGGGAAAGGCGGAATATACAGTGTTCTAAACATTCTGTTTGTCAGATGCAGCAGATGCATGAAACGCAGCTTGTAGGGATCATGTCTCCTTTCATCCGTCTCATATTTATTTTGCGCTCGAGGTATCCCTTCACTGCAAAGATGCAGTCATGGAACTGATTATGATTAGGGAACAGGTAGCTCAACAGGTTAGGCAAATGCCAACGGATCCAACGGTTGTGTCCTGCGGTGTTGCCTTTCCAGGAGACCTTCTGATGGCCACGGGCTCACTGTGACTGGAGATCTGAGAAGTAAATACAGACAGATCCGATGATGTCGCAGGGTGTAAAGCATGAAACAACCAAGATAACTAAGTAACTACCGTGACATACCGTGACAATCCCTCACATACCTCGACTTAATCCAAGTAGCTCTGAATTTGAAGATCCAGGTGGTTTGTACACCCTGAGCGTATGCTTTCCCGTTTTGTGAGGTCAGCATCCGTTGGATGGAGCGAGGGGTCTTTCGCGGAACGCTCACTCCCAACCCAGCTGTGGAAAAGGCAAGCCAGCGAGCCAACCAATCCTTTCCCGAGCGAAGGCATTGCACACTATTCTTCATGATTCTAAAACAACTTCGATTCTGCCATGGCAGGCTGCTAAGAAGTACAAGTTGGATGCGCCATCTGCTTGCAAGCTCGCAGAAGTTCTGGAATGCAGAGATGATCCAGACACTGATCTCAGGCCCGACTCCTAGGAGACAATCCGCATCAATCCGCAGGGTTTCGAAAGCTGGTGTGTCTAAGCGCAGAACCCAACAGCGGGCAGACAGCGCTGGTGTGTCTAAGCTGGCTGCAGGCGGGAGTATCCTGTAGGAATGTATGTATATATATATAATTAATATAATATTATATATATACATACATACACACACACATAATATTTATAATACTAGATACACATAGGCGGACCACCAGCCGTCACGTTTCACCACGTCACATGAGGAGCCCCACCTGGTAGAATCAGCAATTCATGAAGAGACGAGGACTGAGCTGCCCTTCATGGTATCGTTATAAAATGCGAGCCATGTATGGCACCCCTAGGCGGTTGCCTTGCGCTCCCCCGCCATGCTTGCTAAACTCTTCCAGCGCACCTCCAAACGAAATGATGTGGACATCTGCGTTGACTTCTTGCGTCACTTGCGTCACATGCATCTGACCAAGCGGCAACTTCAGCATCTGATAGAATGTTCTCTCCGCGGCGCATCATCTCTGCATGAAGTCCAACCCGTAGGAAGACGCAGGCATCCTGCGTGCACATAGGACATACACGGAAAGTTCCCCATGTTGCTTGAGGAATTTCGCGATTGATGGCTTTAGCATTTGACTCCGCGAAATCCTAAACAAGCAGCAGTGTTCAACAGCCAGATATGGATTCAGCTAATGAGGCAAGTAAAAGCTGCTAGAAGGTTTCGTTTTGCAATTGGGATATCAGCTGGATCAAATCCATTTGCTCTAGCTTCGCTGTCTCTGGTTGCACAAAGCGCCAAAACAAGAAGGACTTGCTGAGCTCGTTGCGAATGGAGCACAAGCAGAAAAGGACACCTTAGGAAAGGAGACACCTGAGGAAACTCTCGGGGTCAGACAAATGAAGAATTGGCATGAGAGCGTTTGCTTTCCTGCTTTAAGAATACCCTCGGGTCGTTTTGGTTTTGTTCACAGCTGTTCACCTGTCAAAGGAAGATCAGTGATCACCTCGCAGCCTCCAACAAGCCTTCATCGCTGGTTGGGGTCCCAGGAACTCGTCCCTTGTGATTACTTGTAGTGAATTGTAGTATTTGTAGTGTACACGTTGTGTCGTTCTTCAAAACAGTACACGTTTTTCACGTTTTGGCAAAGACTTGGATGGTGGACTGTCGTGATAGATTTTGCCTGTGCGTCCTATAATTATCTTTAATGATCTTTAATGTGCTTTCTGCTTTGCTTGGGCTAATTGTCCTGCGAAGGTGATGCAGATGCTGCGGGATATCAAGGCCGGCAAGCCTATTGAGCCCTGCACTCGAGCGCCAGCGATTGGTAGCTATCTTCACAAGAAGGCGGCCAGTTTCCACGGATTTCCATTGTTCTGTGGAAGTTGTGAAGAAGGATAGAATGCCTGCAACGATGGGATGGGTCTAGCTGTGCCATCGCATGGCAACTATCCATAGTTCTCCTGTGAACCAACGAAGCTTGGCACTATTTGCAACAAGTTCTGCTTTCAGCTTGTTCTTCTCTTTCTTCTCGATGATGCAGGAGACAAACACAAAGCAGGCCAAGAGTGGGAAAAGCAGGTGCGAGGGCTGCAAGGGGTGCAAGAGATTTTGGCCAGTACTCCTTTGCACAGGGCACAGATTGTGGAATCTATCTTGAGATATCACAGCTTTGAATCACTTGCAATCCTTGCAGTGGAATCATATCGAATCAATTTGGTACCTCTGTGTCTCTGTACAGGACGCCCACTAGACGCAGCCCTAGTCGCGATCGACGACATCGCGGCGGCCGTGCCGGCCGGAGTTTCTCGTTTGCATCTGATGTCACGAGTGCCATGGCGTTTGCACAGATGACTTTTGACTGTTCGGAAATGAGATGTAAGAATTGCCAAGACATGATTTCAACATATTTCAACAATATATTTCAATTGATTTCAGATGTCCACAGTTTTTTTTGGAGCAGGTAGAAGTCGCGGTGGTCGTGGTGACCATGGTGGTGCAGAGGCCCACCCTGGCAATCGAGGAGACCGGGGGGACCGAGGAGACCGAGGAGACCGAGGCGGTCGTCCTGGAGGCGATGCTGATGGGCGTCGCCATGGCAGACGCCTGGCCGAAGGGCAAAGTTTCGCACAGGGTGTCGGGCCGTTTGAAGCGACTTGAGCCACTTGAAGACTGTGGCAAGAGATAAGTTTTATATAATGAGTTTTATAATATGAGCTATATATATATATGTAGATATGTATATGTAGATATGTATATACGTATATATGTATATACAATATAATACTATTGTTTTGACGTTTCAGTATCCTTTTTGAAATGTAGTGCCCTTTGAACCCAGGAAGTCGCAGCCGTCGACGGGGTCGTGTCTTGGCTCATGGGCCCCCACGTCGACTGAAGCATCCGATCCCAAAGCATGCTTGCACATGCGCCCACACACAACAAACAAGGGGTATTGAGGTCGAAGGCTTGTTCAGTTGGACCAACAATCAAGAAGCCAATGTTCATGTTCTGCACAGGCGACGACAGAGTGGAGGATTATGCAGGCTTCGGGCTGATGCAGATGGCATGCAAGTTTTTTAGAGCTCATGCTACTTGTGAGTGCAAAGCACAGAGAAAGACGGACAGAAAGGTACTGCTCAAACGACACCCTCAGTTAATTGAACTTTGCTGCAGGTGAGGGCAACTGACAAGCTGCTTGAGAGTAAGACTGCCACAAGAAGCAGATTCGGTCTAGCTAGTTGAAGCGAAGATGCCCATTATGGGACGAAGGACTCAGTAGATTAACAGAGGAAAAGTTAGGCCAGCAGCTTGTCTGTTTTCTTTTTGCGCTGTCAAATTGACTTCTAAACTTGGTCCTTCGACTTGTTTCGATGTGGCTTCTGAATCCCCAGAGTCTGAAGCTCTGCTTGTCAGTCGTTCGTAAAAGATGCTGTCGTGAGTTCCGAGCGTTCAGACCTTGCGCCCTTCGGTGTTGTGAAGAACCTGTTTGAAACTGTTTTTGTTTGCTTGAGGCCTACATACTTGCTGAATTTCTCTGGAGGTCCGATTCATAGCCTTTGCTACCTTGCCACAAGTGGCCGTTCCTTTTTCTTAATGTTCTGTTTTCCTGCTCACTTTTTTTCTTAAGTACAGGTCTCAACTAGGGGCCCCTTCGACATATTCAGCTGCAGGAGAAACATTCTTGCTGCTGATTCTTGCCTCACTAGTTGCGTTGCCTCCCCTTCTTCAAAGATACCCTGCTTGCCCCATTCGCCTGTTCATTGTTTGTTCCACCCTCACATCGTGTCATGTAATTGCATATCGAAACTTCCTTTTGCTAACAGCAACTGCTTGATGTCCGAGCTCGGAGCAGGCAGACCAAGGTCATTCAAAGAACATCAAAGAACCAAGTTCCAAAATGTTCCAAAGACAACTTTTCCAGAAACTTAGGACTACTGAGGACAAGTTGAAAAAGTAAAACCATTTTCCACGGTCAAGGCATCCAAGGGCAGATTTCGAGCACCACCAAACACAAGGTCCACAAGGTCCGAGAACAAGGAGGATCATTTGATCCTTTCATTTCGATTCTTTTGTACAGATAATGTACTGTGAGCATGTCTTTCAGCACCGGGAAAGATGTACTGCCACACTTTATCACATGTTTGCCAAATACTTTTTTTGCAACAATTAGTAACTCTTGAAGTCATATAGCATTAGTTGCCATTTTGGAACTTTCTCAAATTTATTTGCATCTCACCTCTCTTAGGCTGGAACAGCCAGGGCAGCAGGAGGTGTGCTCTTTGCACACATGGCCTGCTGCTTATGAGTTTTCTACCTAACTCAGTGAATTTTGGTGCTGATTGGAGACTAGATGCAGCCTTTATAGATTGAGGGCTGGGCAGTTGAGTGTTGTGGTTTCAAGTTACAGTACACAAAAGCTGTCCCAGGTCGCCCTTCATAAGTGACGTAAAGATGGTGGTTTTTGTATGTTTTGGGGAGTGCCTGATTTTGTCACTTCTGAGCATGCTGCCCGCAAGGCCTGTATCACCAATGGGCATGTTTGCTGCCAACATCACGGTGCCGTGCCCTTGGCACAGGATGGAAGTGTTGCAGTCAAGTGATGTCAAGCCTACAGTGCGCTCAGCAAATTGGAAGTGCATTCAATACGCATTCAGGCCAGAGAACGCAACCCTTGGCAACTCGTCTTGATTCGACTGTACAGACCCAACGCCACAGAGATCAATTTGCTATCAATTTGGGGGCAAGGCAGACTTCCTGCTGTTTCCATTTACTACGCAAAAGAGCTGACACAGGCAATGGATTTTGCAGCCCACCCAAGTGTGACAAGCGTGCAGAGCATCACAAATCACCTGTGAAAAATGTAATTATAGATATGACCGCTACACTGCACTTCTGACGTTCCAATTGCTGTCCTGAATTTGTTTGACTTGGCGGCTTTGCACTTTGGAAGGTGCCTGCAAGCTGCTTCTTGGCCACATTGCGTTTTAGACAAGACAGTTGGCCCTACGATGAATCTCTGGCTGAGAAGCAGTTGGTATTGGAGGCTCCAATCGTCAATACATGGTATTCATTGATATTCATGATATTCTTTGTATTGGCAAGTGCCAGACGGCATTGGCTGCACAGCTCGAGGTTCTGAGTGGCGCCGACTTCATTCACAACTGCAGCTGCCTTCATTATCAGCTCAGGGCACTCCGTTTCTTGTGCGCGTCTTATCTGCCCAGCCTCTGGCCACTTCACCAAGAGCTTGGACCTCTTGAGACTCCCTCCCAGGATATCCTCATTGCAGATCCTCGACCACCTACTGTGCCAAACACAGAAGTGTGCCGTTTGCCATTTGCCAAACTAAACAATCATGAAAGCGTGGTAAGTCGTTGACATTGCAGCCTTTCAGAGCAAAAACAATCTGACTTTGTGGATAGATTATGGGAGGAAGGTGACCAGGTGTGAATCATGTTGGGAATTTGTAGGCCTTAACACCTGCACATATGAGAAGAGCGTTTTCTGACAGTTGAGTTGTATCGCAACAGCATGAAATCCAGGGCAATGGATTGGACGCACTCATGGCAGAAAAGTTCACCGAGAATGGAAAGACAGCTGCGTCAAGTTCGTCAAGACATTCTCGTATCATTTCATATCCCTGGACCGATACGACCGGTACGACCGATACGACCGATACGACGGAGACGGAGACAGCTTGTGGAGGTCCGAATGGTCCAAATGGCCTCGTAGCTTGGAGCAAGAGAGGCCGTGCCCTCCTGGAATCGCTGGCGAAGAACGACACGCCTTGCGACATCACACCCGAGCCTCCCAGTGATCCCAGTGATCCCAGTGACGAAGCTGTTTTGAAGAAACTTGATTTACACCATTTACACCATGCCAGCAATGATACGAATGATAGCAATGTTTATGAAGAGGATGTCTTCAAAAATGCCGTGCAAGACGACCCGCATGCTCGGAGCTTGGAGAGAATTCTGAAACGTTGTCGATCACATCGATCAACACAGTTCCAAAGTGACTCTCAGAGTCTCATCGAAATCCCAGAAGAGCTTGCCAGAGTCAGTGCTGAAGACGTGATCATTACCGTGATGTTGTGCGACCAGAAGGGTTTCAAGGAGCAGGAATACGATGTCCTTGCCAGCCAAGCGCTACATGATTTAAAGGATGCATTGTATTTTGTTGGGGATTGGACGTACAATGGTCCTAGAACCAGGTCTGCATGCATGTTCATTGATGGTGCGTTCTACTCAGACATGCGTCAGCCTTCGGCTGTTGACTACGGAAAGGAGTTGGTTGAATGGATTGAAAAAGCAGGACATCCAAAGCTCAAAGCGGAACCATTGAGAACAATGGCAACACGCTTTTGCGATCTGGAGAGAATTCCATACGGAGAGAAGTGCTGCTACATCAGACAAGGTGATATAGAGCACCTTATGTATTTCACGGGTGCAAGACTATTGAACAAGACACTGGACTGTCCGTTGAGAGAGGCATATCCATGCTTGATTTGGATGCGCAGGTACCAGAAAAAACGTTGTGTGGTTTGCAAGAAACTGTTAGCTTCTTGGGTGGTCCTGGATTCATCTCGATGTCCATTTAATCCAGCTCACTTTTGCCGCATTTGCTTTAAACATTTCTCGCAAGATGAACGTGGCGAATACATCCCACCGCTGGACTACAAGGTCTTCCCGTACCTTCATGAAGAGAGCGAAGCTTCATAGCTTTCAGTTCTTGAGAGAACTTCTTGAAGTTTTGGCTTTGTCCGACTTTGTCCGACTTTGTTGTCCTGCAGTTAAGCGCAACAGCTGCATAGCTGCACTGGCCAATTGATGATCGATTCTACACTGACACCCACAGTTGCTGAACCTCCCGGCATTGTTTCCCTGCAATCTTCACATGTTGTTGTAGCTCCACAACATGTGGTTTGAGCCATATCACGTATTTGGCAGGTTGGGGATGGTGCCATGCCTTCCCCCTGAGCGGGATTTGCGATCTTGTTTCCGTGAAACTTGTGGCAAAAGGGACCAATTTTTCTCTGCTTGTTTTCATGGCACTGGTCCAAATGCACTCACACATTTGGATTCACTCTTGGTTTTTCTCTCGAGGTATTCTACTTCCCAATACAAGTTTGTTTCTTGCACGCTGCACTCGTTGAGATCTGCAGGCGGTGCTGGCATTGGGCACGCCTGAGTTCTTGCTACCAGGACAGCCACTGACATTGAATGCCACGCTTGGGGCCTACCATCCGGTGGTTTAAAAAATCTTCGCACAGCAGACCACAGCAAGCCACAGTTTGGAAGGGATTCTCCTCCGTCATTTGTGTCGCTTTTCGTTTGAATTCACACGAAGCCTTCTCATCCTTCTCTTTTGGGATCTCTCAAGGCTTAAGACCTACACTGGGATTCCTTTGCAGAAGCACGAATTGCAGGATGGGATCAGAACACCTTGAGCTGCTTGAGCTTTCTGTTTTTTCGGCACGTTAGGCAATTGATTCGGGGAATGTGATTTCGTCTCGGAGCATAGAAGGTGGAATTGACCAAGCCCAGCAAGCCAGCTGACCAACGGCCGTTTGGAGCACAGCAATCAGCTTCGAGAAGTGCATTTTATACACTTTTCCACGCGTAAAGATGTCACAGGCTGAGTGCTTGATGTTTCTTATGTTTCTTATGTGTCTAGGACTGATGAGTTTGAACTCAGGATGCCAGTGTTCGCCGAGCCGGACACAGTCTCCAGCAGCTCTGAGGTGCACAAGTACTTCAATTGGCAGTGAAGTTTAGGAAAGACAAACTTCTCATGATTGTTTTTAATAAACCAAGGGTTGAAGATGGAGGATGTGCATTTACGTTAGGCAGAGACCTTACAGTGAGAATGGTGAAAGATGTAAAAGGAATCTGAAGGAAGTAAAGGACAAAGTCAAGGAGAAGCGTGCAAAAAGTCCATCCAAGAAAAAAGCATGCTTAATACCCTGTATATTCACTGTAGATCCTGTAGCTTTTTCAGCTCTGCGAGGAGACTGAGACTCAATCCAGTGACCTAGTTGGCGAGACTGACTCTGTTGGCGCTTGGTCGAAGGACACGTGCTGGTGTTGACACTTGCATCGGTTCAAAATCAGAGTTTGACCCTGCTGCAAAACTGAGCCTCGCAACCTCTAAATGATGAAATTTGACTCAGGAACTCCATTTCGGAGGCCATTCTTACTCACGGCCCACGGCTATTGCTTTATAACAGTTTAACATTTTATAACTTTATGAGATGTATCATTTTCTGCCCCAAGCAAGTGCAGGTGAGATCCCATGGGTCCCCAAGCTGGAAGATGAAGTAACCATCAAGGTCTGAGCCTTCGAATCTCTTCCAATTTGATCGAATATCGAATGTATTTTGAATATTTCCAAAAAACATCTAAATGATTCTGAATGTATTTGAATGTCTTTGAAGGCGCCAGCCAAGGTGAAAGCTCGAGGGCCTACAGGAGAACAGCTAGCTGAGCCAGCTGCTAAGTGGCGTCGAGTCCTTCTCTCTTTTAGTTTGAAATCTGTGAATTTTAAAGAGCTATTGCTGAGGTCAAAAAAGCTGCCGATCCGTGTGGGACCATGGGATGTAGAACTGAGGAGAGAGGCAGAAACTGCATAAACAAATCCGTTGCAAGTCTTACAAAATGTGTTACAAAATGTGTTAGAAAATGTGACAGCACCACATTTTGGCTCCGCAGGACATCAGCAGACACACACCGGGGTGACGGGCCATTGCCAGGTCGCAGCGACCGAGAACGATGAACAAAGGTTTGAAGATTTTGTTTGAACATTTTGAACAATGTTCTTTTAGTGCCCATGTCTTCTGTGATCCATGGCAGGTCAAGACTTCGCGGTATGGATGTCCTTGAAGGCGTCATCAAATCATTTGAAAACTGCAGATGTGAGGCATCGACATCAAGACATTTGGAAACTTTGCATGGAAAGGCAAAGTATCCACAAGAGGGCTGGAAGGTTGCCGATGACAAGGCTGTGCTTCAAGCCAACTTCTGCGGTGTAGTCTTGCAGCTTCAGACCAGTGCAACGAATTGGTTTTGCCTTTTGTGAGCTGAATACGCTGAAACAGATTACAGAAATAATAGAAGTACGAGAAGTTCATGAGAAGTACTGAAATCCCTGGAATTTGCGAAGCAACAAGGCTGCGCAACTGTTTCTGGTGGATGCCGATGATGAAACAACTGGAAGTCCTGCAGCTGCAAGAGGAATGGCTGGGCTTTTTAGGAGAAATGCGGTGGCTAAATGCTGTCGACTCTGTCGACTGCGGACAGTGCTAACATTCTAGTCCGTTTCAATCATTTCTTGAGTCCTACACAGAGGATGATAAGACTGAGGCTGTTCGGTCATTCTGGCTCGCTGTTATGCATCGTTGCTTTGTGCGAGAAGTTTTCTTCTCCAGACACTGCGTTGAATCTTCCTTCCGGGTTAGTTTGATGCTTCTGTGCGCCAGGATTGGCTTCGGGCGAAGGAAAAGGTACAGGTCAAATCCTCAAATCTACTCTGCTATGTTTGCCTGGTGACGGGCCGTATGCACACTGAGACCCTCATGCCCAAAGTCCAACTTGACAGCAGGCAGGGGTAGTTTTTCACATGTCCCTCCTACAGCGACCTTCCTACAGTGGTTTGGACGGTTGCAGCTTGGAAGGGTCGAAACAATATGAGCAAGTCCAGCATATACCTACCGTATACATTCACAGTCAACTACGCAAGATCATTCAAAAGAGAGCGCTTCAATTTGGTGGCCGCATGTAAAATTAGCGAGACTCGGACTCGGCCGCGTTTAGTAGCGAAGTGAAGCTTTGATGGCCAGAATGTGTTTTTATGTGGTAGTAGGCAACGTTGGCTGTACTACTTTTACCGGATTGTTAGGATCTGCGAGCCAGCCTTCAGCCCAAAGTTCCCTGGCCTTTGCTACTTCAGGCACATGGGGCACCCCAAGTGCTTCAACATCAAGAGACTGTTCAAGTTTTTACCCTACCCTCAGTGAGCATGGCAGGAGTCACAGCCTTGTTGTTGCTGAATGGAAGGCTGCCCAGAATGGGAAGATTTGCAGTGGTGGCGAAAGTCAAGCTGTCCATGGCCAAGGAGGTTGAAAGTGCTGGAAACTCTCCAATCCATACGCACTATACGTAACGTACAATATATATATATATCTATATTATAAATAAATAGCTGGATAAATATACATGCATGTATATATATATATACATGCATGCTAGTAGTGTCGGGTCACGCCGCGACGTACTCTCTATGCTACCCCCCAAGACCTACCCTTTTTGCATGGCAGAGGCGTTTTTGGCAGTGTTTTTCGCGAACAGGTCAAGTACTCCTACACTGTGCTTTCCAAAGTGAGCACGCACTTATTTTTTGAAAGCAATAGTAGCTACTTGCAATGAACAGTGCTTCCCTGAACCAAGGGGTGTTCAATCCATAACTGGTTTTTACAATCCATAATATTTTTCTACAATCCAGAATTAAAATACAATGTCCAAACCTCAATATAAATATATATTCCAATCCACGTTTAAAAAATAAAAACGATCACGACAATCCATCGCAGGAAAACAAAATCGTTGTTTTGGAAAAATATAAGAGAAAAAAAGGCATTTGAGGCAACCTACAATGGAGAAAAGAGTAGGGGTTTCGGCAAAATACATACCAAAAAAATGCATTCTGGGCAAGATACAATGGCCAAAAATTACATTTTGGGCAAAATGCAACGGAGAAAGCGTAGAGGTTTCGGCAAAACACATACAAAAAAAATGCATTCTTGGCAAAATACAATGGATAAAAATTGCATTTGGGGTAAGATACAATGGAGAAAAGGTTAGAAAAGTTTAGGCAAATACACAGGAAAACAAAATCGTTGTTTTGGAAAAATATAAGAGAAAAAAAGGCATTTGAGGCAACCTACAATGGAGAAAAGAGTAGGGGTTTCGGCAAAATACATACCAAAAAAATGCATTCTGGGCAAAATACAATGGCCAAAAATTACATTTTGGGCAAAATGCAACGGAGAAAGCGTAGAGGTTTCGGCAAAACACATACAAAAAAAATGCATTCTTGGCAAAATACAATGGATAAAAATTGCATTTTTTCGTAATGTATTTTGCCGAAACCTCTGCGCCTTTCTCCATTGTATTTCGCACTAAATGCAATTTTTTTTCCATTATATTTTGCCCGGAATGCATTTTTTCGTAATGTATTTTGCCGCAACCTCTACGCCTTTCTCCATTCTATTTTACCCTGAATCCGTTTTTTTTCATTGTATTTTGAACACAATGCATTTTTGCGTAATGTCTTTTGCCGAAACCTCTACACCTTTCTCCATTGTATTTTGCCCTAGATGCCGTTTTTTTCATTTTATTTTGCCCGAAATGCATTTTTTCGTAATGTATTTTGCCAAAACCTCTACACCTTTCTCCAATTTTCTCTAACGGTTTTTCCCTTGTCAGCAAGGGTCGGCGAATTAGATTTTTGTCTTTTTTATCGACGCGGGCACAGAAATTTTTGTCGAAGATTGGAAAATAAAGATTAGTCATGGATTGGAGAAGTTTTTTTTATTTATCAATGCTTTTTTATTTTTGTCAACGATTGGGAAAAGAGATTTTGGTCGAGGATTGGAAAGTAACAATCAATCGTGGATTGGGCAGCGTCTCCTGCTGAACACAGCTTATGCCCACAAATGATGAGCAGCGCCTCTTAAAAAAGACTGACTCTATTTTACAGGAATGCTGGAATGCTACCTATTGAAAAGGAATGCACTTTTTCCCAAAACATATTACATCCTTTGAATAGATATATTTGTTGAAAGAGACTGCTCTTGTCAATTAGATTTACGTCATCAAAATCATGCTACTTTCTAGGATATGTATATATATATATATATATCACTTCATGTGAAACAACATTGCGTTTGTTTGAATAGTGGACCTTATCAAAGAAAATCTTGCCAAATGTTACTTTCTCTGCGGGTGGTTGTGCTTTCTAAAGTGGGTATGTATTCAATTTGTGGACAGTAATCATGCACCCATGAAATGAAGTGTCTGCTTCAAATAACAATGAGCGCACATTTTTTCAAAGAAATTGCGTCATTTGAAGTAAGCATTTGTTGAACGATTGCTGCAGTCAAAATTAGGTATACCTTTTCCAGAGAAAAATGCATTTTCTTCGAAGTAAGGCTATATATTTGGAAAGGAATGTTATTTTCTTGGAAATGATAATGCATCTGTTTGAAACCTGCCCTGTATGATGCAGGGAGAATTTGCAAAATGTTGCTTCCTCCAGATAATGCATATTTACTACCTCATCGGCTTGAATAGTGATATTGGCAAGACAAGTGGCTTTCTTCAAAGGAATACTACCTATGAAAAAGGAATGCACTTTTGTTTAAGGAATGCTGCACCTCAAAATTCACGATTTCGGAGGTTCTACAATCGATTTAATCGATTGCAAACGATTGCAATCCCCGAATAAATTCAATTAAAACTGTAAAAAACGGTTAATTTCTGACCTTTGCTATGACCAGCAAACTTGTAAAAAAAAAACTCGCAAATACCCCGCCAAAATGCTACAGGGTAGGTTTTGAGTAGGGGGTGTACTCACTGTCTCTATCTCTCTCTCGCTCTCTCTGTCTCTCTCTCTCTCTCTCCGTGTCCCTCTTCCTCCACATATGATCACATCTATATATATATATATATGTATGCATATCTATCTACATGTGTATATATATATACGGATATAAATAAACAGATATTATGGTTGTCAAACCTCGCTGGGCTTTGTGCTGTTTAGAAATCAAGGGTGTACCCAGAGACTGTCTGGTGGCACCTTGCAAGTGGATGCCAAGGCAGGATCCCAAGCTTGAGGACACAACGTAGTACAAGACGTCCGAAACCTTATACAAACCCAACACTGAAAACTCAAATGCATTTTGATCCTTCTTCATGATTTTTGATGCATTTTGATGCTTCTTGATGATTTTTTGATGCGTTTTGATGCTTCTTGATGATTTTTTGATGCATTTTGATGCTTGTTGATGATTTTTTGATACATTTTGATGCTTCTTGATGATTTTTTGATGCATTTTGATGCTTCTGGATGATTTTTTGATACATTTTGATGCTTCTGGATGATTTTTTGATGCATTTTGATGCTCCCTGATGATTTTTGATGCATTTTGATGCTTCTGGATGATTTTTTGATGCATTTTGATGCTTCTTGATGATTTTTTGATGCGTTTTGATGCTTCTTGATGATTTTTTGATGCATTTTGATGCTTCTTGATGATTTTTTGATGCATTTTTTGATGCATTTTGATGCTTCTTGATGATTTTTTGATGCATTTTGATGCTTCTTGATGATTTTTTGATGCATTTTGATGCTTCTTGATGATTTTTTGATGCATTTTGATGCTCCCTGATGATTTTTTGATGCATTTTGATGCTTCTTGATGATTTTTTGATGCATTTTGATGCTTCTTGATGATTTTTTGATGCGTTTCGATGCTTCTTGATTATTTTTTGATGCATTTTGATGCTCCCTGATGATTTCTTGCTGCATTTTGATGCTTCTTGATGATTTTTTGATGCATTTTGATGCTTCTTGATGATTTTTTGATGCGTTTTGATGCTTCTTGATGATTTTTTGATGCATTTTGATGCTTGTTGATGATTTTTTGATGCATTTTGATGCTTGTTGATGATTTTGGATTATTTAGTTGTAAGTCTGGTGTACCATGAGAGAGGCATGTTGAGTCTGTACCTTCTCCCTGAAAGCAGGATCACGTCGTCTCCACTTGTGCCTTCTTGGGACGTACTACAATGCAGTGGAGGCTTGCACATGCCAATGAAAACTTGGAGCGGGAGGTCATGGTATTTTGCAGCATCGATTTTGCGTCGCAGCCGGTTACAAAAATCTGCAAAACATTGGGACTAGCAAATTCACCGACAAATTTGAAGAGTTTTGGGAGACACTTCTGGCAGGCAATCACCTTTGAACTCTCCAAACATCTTCAAACGGTTTGAGGCCTCAAGATTTTGATGTCACATTTTGACTGGGCAGATTTTGTTCTTTCCAGCTCTTTGCAACTGGGGCAAGCTTCCTTGGGAAGGTCAAGTCCTTGGGAAGGTACAGTAAGTTTGTTGCTTATGCCTTATACTGTTCCAAATCCATTGGAATCCTGGGGCCCTCATCAGGGCCCCAATCAGGGCTCTACTCAGGGTCCTAATCAGGGCCCTGATCGATGTAGGTCCAACCCTCTGCAGCCTCTTACTTTCCCGGCGATGCTGTGAAACTACAGGCAGAGCTGAACTTGAAATCAGGAACTTTGAACCAGACGAGAAGTGAGACTAATTTTCTCATCATTTTACAATTTTAAATATATTTTGATTTGAAGAGGGTTGAATGTCGTTTCCGACTTGAAGAAACTTGCATGAGTATAGGGTTGGGAGGATGTCAAGCAAGTGCTCGCGAGCTACACCTGTTTTTTTGGAAAGCATTCATCATGTTAGTGCTTTTGCACAGATCACCTATGTTCTGAACGACCCACAAGCCATCGAATCGATACAGTCTATACATGATGTACGAGTATATAGGAGTACTAGTAGAACAGTTGCTTCCGATCAATGATTTGAGAAACTCTCCTGGCAATCGTCAGGTCTGGAACCCTTTGGCCGTGCGAACGCGCATGCTCGTTATTTGGGGTGATCGACCAGCAGTGCTGAACCTGGCGTTCCCTGCGCTGTTTTGTTTATAGAACACAACCGAAGTTCCTGTTCAAGCGTCCAAACCAGCCAGGTAACATCACCTTTGCCACTCACCATTCATCACTGATGCCCTAGGTGACAGAGCTTCAAAACGTATCGGCACAAGAGACAGTCTATCTCCAAGATTGCTTTGGAGGTATGTGTAAAATTAGAGTTTCCAAAGTAACATCTTGATGTCTTGAGATGTGTTGAGCCATTTCCAAATTAATGCCTTCTGCCATCTTCTGCCCAGGTTGACCTGGGGGTATTGCAAGACAGCGACTGTCCTATGACCTCTTGCAAGGCAGCGGTACAGACACAGAGAATCGCAAACCTAACCGGGCCACAACTTTGCAGAGAACCAAACAAGGCCTTTTTGACAAACTGTTCAGACATGAGCAACATCCTTTTCAGGCAGTAACCTTTGGACATGGTGATAACATATTTCTTCTTCACTGTTTCAACACCTTTCATTTGTGCAGGTGCACGTCTTTCTGTGGAGCGTCGATGATTCAAAGACACTTATCAAAGACGTTCCTCTCTCAATCCACTATCCTGAGGCCTGACGTTATTTTCTGTGATTGAATTGATTTGAATTGCATGAGAGATGGTTTGCAGTTGCAGTCCTTGTCTTTTCGCCTCCATTCCGTATCAATCCAGATCATTCCACGCTGCAGGGAGCTCCACTCTGGGCTCACCAGGAGGTGGGGCTTCAAAGCACAAGATTTAACGCCTTAAATATCTGACGAATCTGACCATGAGATCTCATGAATCTGATATATTTTTAATATTTTTCAATGTCTATGTGTCTTGTGCTTGAAAAGAGGAAGCCTTGCAGCGATTGAAGTCGTGTTTCTGTGGATCCTTCGACAGGTGGAGTTGTATATAGAAAGACCGGGGCAAAAGTTGAAGGCGTGGCAAACAGTGGCAGAATGGGACGTACGTGGCAAGCTGGTGAGAAATGACCTGAAAGCTGGGATTCTCTGTCAGATTTGTGAGGTCGATCTGAAACCTGAAGCCAGGGTGATCAAGCCCGGTGGAAGTGTTGAAATCGAGGTGCCACAGATGGGTGCCAAGGGGTCAAGATGGGTAAAGTTTCAGGTTTCTTTTTCAGAGATGGACAAAGGACTTGAAGAGGTGTTTGTACAATTTGGAACACTCTGTATTTAGTTTTCTTTCATGTGTGTCCCTCCACCCATGCTGTCAGCAATCAGGTCAACATCGAGCAGCAAGAGGGTGCCCAAACTGAAGTTTCCATGCTGGTGGTCGACAAGGCTTGAGAGCTTCGTTTCCATTTGGGATGGGACTTCGGACTTGTCTCAACCTATCCTGATTGCAAGGCCTGGCTAGATTTACGGCCTCTGAAGCTACAAGAGCCAACAAAGGCCTTTGAGATGCATCAAAACAGACCTTTGACATCCTTTGACTGTGTTTAACAGGCTGTTCCAAGGATCATCAAAAAAGGGTCAATAAAGATCAAAAAGGAAAACATTCGCATTCCAGACTCTCTTGTCATGCCTTCAATTCAAGCAAGCAGTACCTGGAGATATTTCGAGGCCTTCGAGCCCGAAAGGCTGTTGTCAAAGGGTCCACAGCAAGAATCTCAGCGTTCTGTGCACTCGAAACAGAAGTGCATGCAGACAATATCAGACAATCGCAATCTCTGCAAAGTTTGACGGGGTCAGGTGGCGCCTCGCTAGCACACTTGATGGTCTTTCTACAGCCAGTTCGGTGGCAAAGGCCAGCACAAAGCAACGCCTCAGCAGTTTTCATTTTACCAGCCATATGGGAGACACGAACTCAGGCCACCAAGCGGATCCGCCAAAGCTTGAAAGACAACCAGTGGGTCTGAAACCAAAAGCTTCACAGATCTTACAGACATTTGCGTCTGGTTTGCACGTCATTTGCACATCACTCCGGTCCGTGTTGACGTCTATTTTCTGAAGTGCGTCATGTCCAATGAACAACTTTGCATTTGCAGATGGCTTTGGCAAAAACTTAGAAGACAAATGAACGCAAGACCGGATTTTCGCTATTTTCGTCATTTGTATCAGATGGACTACATCACCTGGCCCCTCGCACTGCGCGGTTCGGACCGTTGTCATCACTTGTGCAGCCTTCAATCGCCTCAGATTCGGACATGTTGGGGCCAGATGCTGCTGTCAATAGGACGACTCCATGCTGGATGATGAGCACTACATGGACAAGTGGGCAGAGGCCGAAAATGACACTTCCTCCAGACAGCATCGAAGCTTCATAAGGCTTGTCTATTTGTTCCTATTAGGCTGGGAATCTCAGGTTGAGTTTCCAGGAGGGTCCGTGCAAACAAATTTTCTTCTTGGTCTTTGACAGATAGGACTTGACGGATTTTCCGAATTCTCCCATGGCCCGGCACTGAACACAAGGATACACGGAGGTTTTGCAGTTTGCAGATGTCCAATAGCAGCCTGCACTTCCGCCTTTGAGGTCGCAATGGATGAAGTTGCTGGGGAAAATTTCGGTGGTCCAATGGTGATGGTGTGCTCCTCATGTGTCACAGCGTTCCAGCTCATGCAAGCGGAGAAGCAGAGTTTCTCGAGGCAAAAGGGTTGGTCCCAATGGCGCTCATGGCCAAAAGCGCTCCTGTACCAGAGACTCGTTTTCACTGGTTTTTAAGCGTGTTGGGAGTTGTGATTCGTCATGATCATAAAATAGCACGATGTTCCTGGATTGCATCGCAGTTCACTGAAGGAGATGGCTGTAGCCGCAGATGCGCCTGTAGGCATGGAGGCGGACTGCAACAGCCCATTTTTGCCTGCTTCGACCCACGACTAGTGCAGACTGTCACCTCACTTTTTGGAAACAACCAAGCTTTGCTTCTTGTCTCTCACTCTAGTAACTTCAGAGCGTTTGAAGCTTCGAAGGCTTCAACAGACAGCTCTGCTGGAAGTCCGAAAGTGAGTCTACGGAAGCGATTTGTCGCCACCTCACAGTGCTGTTGTCCTGTTGTCGGGTGCTTAGGGTTTTGCCAAGGCCAAGCTGGTTGCTTTGAACAGTGCACTGTTGGCTTTGGGCTCAGTCTTCTGATATCAGATTTTGCATGATTTTGCATATTGGTTTGATTCTTTTGCTAGAATTTGAATTTGCAATAGCAGACACCAACCTAACACTGCCGTAACTGCGCTCCGAAAACCAAGGAGACCGGTGTGAACACTTGGAAGGCTCACATAAGGCACCTGTTTGGAGGGTCCGCCAGCACCCTCGAACAGGGATCGGTCCGACCATGTCCGACCTCAAACATTAGTACTGGACAGAAAATCTGAGACAACAAACGGATAGGGGTGCAGCATGTGCGTGTGTAAACTGCTTCAGAATCAAAAGCTACTGAAACTAGCAGTCTCTGCGAATTCATGGCTTGTCATAGCGTGTTGAAGCGGATGTAGACAGCAACCTCAATGCAGGCTTCCAGAAGATCTTTCCACCTACACAGTGCGAGTTCTTGCAGTGTCTAGAAAGGCAGGCCAAATATCATCAGCAATCTCAAGTTCAAATCAGAATGTATATGTAGATGATCTTGTGCAGCTGTCAACAGGTGTGTACTTCGCGCATGGCCAGGACGGAAACTGGTCTTGGGGATCAGCAGAAACAGCAGTTCACACTTCCCAACAAGTGTCCAAGCCTTGGTGGATTGGTGGTCATGACTCAGTCATACCAGCAATCCGAAGGCTGTGCTGTCTTGCTAGCTTCTTAGGTACGGCAAGCCGCTGCTGCCTCGGGCCATTCCGGCATGAGCAGAAACATGTGCAAGTAGACGTGCGCTTAAAGTATTCAGAACACCCTTCGTGGTTGGAGATTCACTTCGTTCACACTTTGACAGTCGTTTGCGCTTACCTCTTGGTGCAATCGGTTTTGCATGATAGGTCTATCATTCAAGCCATTATTTGACTAACGACACGGAGTCCAGGTTCAAGCCATTGGAAACTGGCAGGATCCAAGTCAGGGATTGCCCCAAGACTCATCCTAAATTCAAACCCATGTCACACACTCACATGCTCCAACCGTAAAAGGGACGATCTGTGAGAAAGAGAGATAGAGGCTTGGAAGCACTGCTTGATAAATCCTTTCTGGTAAAACAGCTTGAGTGGCTGTTATCAAGGTAGGTTTGTGATGCCTCCACGTTCAAGGATGTTCAAGGTGTGATGTACCAAAATGAAAACCACCTACTTCAACTCCGATGCGGAAATTGGCTGGTTCCACACCGATGCTATTTCACAACGTAGGCTTGTTCAGGCTGATGCTCTCTCCTCACAAAGGCCCTGTAACTTTGCCTCCTGGATTGTCTGCTCACAGGAATCAGTCTTGTTGTTTTCACGAAAGCTAGCTAGCTTCTGCTAGCTGAAGTCCCTCTTGCTGGAGCAAGGTATTGACAGGGGCTGGAATCGCAAATCAAATGAAAAGTCACAGTCAGCTTCCCCCCTCCCCCGTGGTTTGTTTGGAAGCACTATCGCCAAGGCTCAATCCGCCCCTGGGACATCGTCACCACATCGTCGCCAACAGCATCATCAGCATCACCAGACTTCCTCTCCACTTCACACAATTCCTCACACACTGCTCTTTCACCAAACCTACCTCCCTCTCCTTTTACGTTCCCAGCTAGCTCTAGTCCCTTACCCCTTAGCCTCAAGTTCCCGTTTCTTGAATACTAGCAGTGCTTTCCCTCCCTACTTTTGACAGGGCTGCTGTAAGCAGATAATTGCTTTGCCAGTAGTAAAGCCAAATGTAGCATGAGGTCCACTGGACCTGCTAATAAAGCAGATTTGGATGATTTGGATGATTTGGAGATCGTTTGAACATGAGTGACGCTCAAAAGTTGATGTCGTTGAGCCAGAGCCAATTTACGCACAAGGCCTGTCAAGTTCATGTAACGTTCTGTCTTGGTAGAGCTCACCGCTGCCAGATGCTGCGTTTTGGGGATGTTTGCCGCATGGGAGCTGCCATCCAGGCCGGTAGATGCAATAGCCTGATACATCCATTACGGCCGAGGGCCGCTTCCATTTCCTTGATGTTTTGTTCAAATCATTCACAATCTTATCGAAGGAAGTTTAGAAGTCAAACTTCCGACAACATGGACAGATGAAAAAGCAGAGGTGGGAAGAGTCAGAGAGGAGAAGAGCAGAAGAGAGAAGATCAGAGAAGAGAAAGAATGAGAAGAAAGAAGATGCAGGTGCGCGAAAAGGTAGGAAAGTCGCGAAACACTGTGTTTTTCCAATGATTTGTGGCTCTGGAGGGTCGAAAAGTAGGCTCGCTAAAGCGGCGGGTGCAGAGCCATCTGGCCAGATGAGAGATGAACAGTTGCACTCCGTTGTAGCGCGAAGCTCATTTGGAAGTGAAAAAGCTAAAACACCACACGTTGAGCTCTTGACTCCACTCCACTCCACTCCGCTCCGCTCCACTCCACTCCACTCCACTCCCCACTCCACTCCACTCCACTCCCCTCTCCACTCCACTCCACTCCCCTCTCCACTCCACTCCACTCCACTCCACTCTCCACTCCACTCCACTCCACTCTCCACTCCACTCCACTCCACTCTCCACTCCACTCCACTCCACTCCCCACTCCACTCCACTCCACTCCACTCTCCACTCCACTCCACTCC